CCTACATTATTACTATACTCCAGTTCTTTATAAACAGTCTATGTCCATCATTAAGGGCATGGACAATGACAGAGTCCAGCTTCCTATTATCAAGTTTCACCTAGAGTCCATTTCTGGTCTGGAAGTAGAAATGCATAACGCATTGTATTCTCACATTCCCTTAAATGAAAAATTACAATACAAAATCAGCAACAGGAAGAAAAAGAGAAATATACAATGCCATGAAGTTAAATAACATGCTACTAGATATAAGAGTCTTTATTACTATACATCCCCTTAAAAGCCACAAAAACAGGAAAAAATTAACAATGCCATGAAGTTAAATAACATGCTAAATGATGTGTCACTGAGGAAAAATCAAGAACCTTCTTGAAGAAAATGATGCTACTGTATTATCTACTTGAAGACATTAAACTTAAAAAAAAAAATCAAAATCCATGATACAGTTCCCACTAATCTTTGTTGGTGAGATGTCTCCTGTAGGCAGTAGATGGGTTTTGTTTTTTTAAAAAAAATCCAGTTCACATTATGGGTCGCTCCAACTAGGTTGCAGCTCCCACTGGTTTATGTGAGGGCCAAGTGTGTGCTGGGCAGAATCAAGCTGGACTGCAACACCCATTGAGTAGAAGATGCGGCTGCAAACAGAACTGACCCAGCAATCGCAACCACCAGCTAATTGGGGGATGGACTGTACCAGGCCCCGTACTTGCAAGCACACAAGAACCTGGTCTGGGTTCACCTCAATTGAACTGCCAGACTCAGATCCCCAACCATGAAAAGACAAGAGGACAAATCAATAAACTACTCCAGCCATATGTTGGCAGTGAAAAACAGGATAAATGGAGACTCCAAGATAGACAAGATATGTCAACCAGTGGATTCTGCAGCAATTTCTTTGTGCTTGGAATGGCGAAATTGACAGCAATTCAAAATGTTGAACTATCAAAACCACTTGAGCAAGACCCTTGGAGCGTGCCCAACATTGGGGCCCTAAGATGGGAGGGAAACTGGGTGGGGCTTCTCCCTTTACCTCCCTTTTCACCCCAGATATTGGGGAAAAAATGTGGAAATGATCGTCTTTCCCACTTTCCTATAGCCCTTAAACCCCTGTGCCCTAATTAACTGTGTAAAGATTGTCAAAAATAAAATTTTTAAAATGGGAAAAAATCCAATTCGCTAATCTATAACATTTCATTGATGAGTTTAACCCATTTACATTCAAGGTTAATATGAATGGGTAGTAATTTGGTCCTGTCATTTTAGCAATGGGTTGTTCATTGGTTTAGTCTTCTGTTGTCATTTTACTGGGATGTTCTTCCCATTTGCCTTTGGTTTTGGTAGGTGCTGTTCCTCTTCTCTGTCAAGAGAACATCTTGAAGTATCATTTGTAGGGCAGGTTTGGAAGAGGCAAATTCTTTTAACTTTTCTTTACTGTGGAAGAATTTTATTTCATTTTCAAAGACAAAAGAAAGCTTTGCTGGGTATGTTATCCTGGGCCGACAATTTTTTGCTTTTAGAATCTGAAATATGTCACTCCATTCTCTTCTTGCTTGTAGAGTTTCCTGTGAGAAGTCTCCTGTGAGCTTAATTGGCAATCCTTTATATGTCAGTTGATTTTTTTCACGTGCACATCTAAGGATCTTTTCCCTATGTTCAGTTGAAGAGAGCTTGATAATCATGTGTCTTGGTGAAGATCGCTTTGGGTCAAGCCTGTGGGGAGTTCTGTATCCCTCCTGGATCTTGTTTCCCAATTCTATCTCTAGATTAGGGAAATTTTTCCTTAGTATTTCATTGAACACACCCTTAACCCCAGCTTCTCTTTCTGCACCTTCTGGGATTCCCATAACTCTTATATTTGGCCTCTTAATAGTGTCTTTCAATTCTTGAATCCTTTTTTGGGTCTGATCCAGCTCTGCTTCCAGCTTTTTTCTTTTTTCCCTCTGGTGACAGGAATTGTCTTCTAATGTTGAGATTCTTTCTTCTGCCTCCTTCATTCTATTTTGGAGACTCCCCACTGTACTTTCAATTTGCTCCACTCTATTCTTCATTTCTGATGTATCATCAGCCTTCATTTGCTTCACTGCCGTTACTTGCTGTGTAATACATTCCCTGAATTCCTCGAGTACCTGATTCATGTACTTCTCATAATTGATAAATAGCTTTATAAGAAGCACTTTCAATTCTTTATCTCCCATTTTCTCGATGTCTTCCTCAGTAAACTTTGAGGTTTGCAAAGGGTTTTGCTGCTTTGCAGGGGAGTCTTCAGTAACATTCATTGTGCCACTGTTTCTTTTGCCCTTGGTCATTGTGCTTCTGGTTATCAGATTCTTTTTGGGATAGGTTTCTAAGCTGTGTTACCCACAGATCTACAGTTCAATTTTACTTATTGCAGTTGGTACCTGGTACTTTCTTTGCAGTCACTTGTACCACTCCCTTGATACTGATCTTGTCAGAACCTGTTGGCTGTTAGGTCTGAGGGCCACACAGATCTATTTTGATCTGTACAATGCCAAAGTCAGTATTGTTTCCCTGTGGGACACTGCAATGCACTGAGCTCAGCGAGTCTGTTCCCAGCTCAGCACATGTGTAGCTCACTGTTTTCCCCACACGTACAAAATGACACCCAATTTGGCTGTAGGGGATGGACTGGGCTGTTAAATTGATCCTGTTCCCTGCACTGCCTGTCTGGCACCTGCTGCTCTGTCTCTGCTCTTGGTCAAATCAAACAGACCAGCAGGATTGGACAGTTCTTTGAGTTGAGCTCCTGAGCTCCCGGTAAACGTCCCTTCCCACCTTGGTGCTGGTGGAGTTCCGGCTGCCAGTGGAGTTTAGATCGTGGCTCGCTGAATGCCACTGGGGTATCGGTCACTGCAACACCACACGGTTGTGTCTGCTGCTTTCCTGTGTCTATCAGTGAATGTATTCAAAGTTACAGGATCATAAGGATGTAGATATGGTCAGCCTTGGAAGCTGCTCAGTTAGGCAGGTTTCGTGAGCCGAAAACACCAGATGCAAAAGTATCTTTGGAGGTTTATTCCAGCGGCGCAGGAACGGGATAGAAGTGGTGGGAGATCAACGCGGAAAAGAGGAAGGTTGAGGAAGCGGGAAGGCCGGAAAGAGGTAGATGCCCTTTGTTGCATCTTCTTGTCATGAATGGTATTCTTAGCTCAGTTTCTTAAAAAAAAATTGTGTATAGTTTCAATCTGACATTTCTTATTTTGAGCATTTGCTATTTTCCTTACTTCATTGAATTGTTTTTCTGTATTGATATTTGCTGAGCTTCCTTAAAATAATTTAGAATGAAAAAACAATGTATGTATTTGAAAGGCACAGTTACAGAGAGAGACCTTCCATCTGCTGTTCACTATCCCAAATGGCTGTCATTGTCAGGGATTAGCAGCCAGGTCGAAGAGCCAGCATGTTCAGTTGACCTCTCACACACCCATGGCTAGGGTCAAGGAGCTGGACCATCTTCTGATGCTTTCCTTGGTGCGCTGTCAGGGAGCTCAGTCAGATGTGGAACACCCCAGACTTGAACCAGCGCCCATATGAGATTTCAGCATTGCAGGTGATGGCTTCATGTACACTACTACACTGGTTCCAAAACAATTAACTTGAATCTTAGGCTGTTTTCCTTTCCTTTTCTTTCTTTATTTCTCTCTCTCTTTCTCTCTCTCTCTCTCTTTTTTTTTTTTTTGGTGTCAGTTTCTGGGAGATTGTTTTTCTTTGTTGGCATTATGTCTCCGTGGTTGGTTGTTTCTTGCTATTTTTATTTGTATCTATGCATTGAATGTCATGTCATCATACTTCATGAAATATTTTTGCTATGGAAAACCTCCCGCAGTGCCTTACAAGGGCACTTGCTGGGTAGGTAGCAGTTGGAGCATCAGTGAGAGTTGCATCTATGTAATGTGGGTTTGATTTTTGTCAGCGGAGGTTGGTGTTGATGATGAAGATTGTAAGGACTCTAAGCAGCGATATCTGTAGAGGTGCCGGGGGTGGTTATCTGTGGTGACTGCTGCTTAGAGCCTATCAAATTTTTTTCTTATTCAAGGAAGTTGTGACTGAAGAAACATTCTTTTTATTGGCTCTGACCTGTGGGATCTGCTGCAGTGGCATCAATATTTGATGAGAAGGTCTGAAACATGGACACTTGTACTGAGATTGCATCTGGGCAATGTTATTTGGTAACAGTTGCAAGACACGGATGTGTGCCAAGCATTAAGGGCATCTGGGAACCGAAGTGATGAGCATAGGATGAGTTAGCACGGATCTGGATTTGGGCAGGGTTCTCTGGGGTAATTCATTTGGTATTTGGAGCACAGGCACTACCATTGCGACACTGGCAACAGTTTTGAATTATGTTTGTGAAGTAGCTAAGCAGCCATGAATGACTGTACAGCCCTGTACTGAATCAGAAGCGCTCCAAAGTTGGGGTGGAGGTTAGTTCTTCGGGGTGGTTCACCGGGAACCTGCAGTGGGTGGGCCCGATGGAAGCAGTCTGAAGCATGGTGGGCAGTATTAAAGGGAGTGGCCCTGGCTCTAATCAGGGTCTGCATGGACTAGGGAGAGAAAGCAAGTAACTTCTCCAAGCAGCTCAGGAGTAGGAACATATAGGAGGAACAGTTGCCACAGTGGCACCCCCTGGAGGCCATGGTGCTTCCTGCAGAATGACTGGTACTGAAAGCTTCTCGTTTTTGCTCCTCTTAATGCACCTGGCATCTCAGCTTCATTGCTTCCTTTATATGAATAGTCTGGGTTTTTGTCCTATTTCGTTGCTGTGGATTCCTTCATAGGCCCATCTTGGTTTATCAGTAGCCATCTGTCTTGAGGCATATGGCCCAAAGTGTACTGAATGTTTGAGACCATTGACAATCCTGTGAACTAGTGGAATGGACTCTCCAAGTTGTCTATATGTTTACAAATGGCAAGTTAAAGATTGATCATTAGAGTATATCAAAGTTATTAGACATATGTATAGACATAGAATACACTTCCCGGTGGAATATAGGTAGGCAAAACATTTATTTATACGATTTCAGTGCAACGTGTGCCTCCAGTACAAATGGTAAACTCACAACCAATGAGAACCAAAACTTTTTACAAGGTGCAGTAGATATAGAAGGATGTAAGTCAGCCAGAGTATCATACACCTCCCAAATATCACTCCAGGTTTCCCATTATTTTTTTAAATGCACAAATCAATATTGCCAGAGAAATTAAAGTATAAAATTCTATTCATTTATTACTCTATTTCTCTATTAAAGGTTTAAGTTCTAAGGAATGGGAATTCAGTCTATGTTTAGGGGCTTGTATTGGGGGCTGACTTGGAGCTGTAGAGACACAGCCAGAGCTACAGTATAACCAGATGAAACTGGCCTGGCTTCAATAGGTGAGGGATAGAGCTCTATATCCAGAGACAGAGGGATCTTTATATATCAGGTAGGTTTTTCAGTCTTTTAAATATTAACTTTGATCCTCCTTGGCTGCATGTATTTCCCTCCCCCTCTTTTTTTAACCTGTGTTAAGTTCATTAACATTTCACTTCTCTGTAGCAAAATATTACATAGCAGTATAAAGGTAAATATAAAAAATATCTAGGACAATAATGAGCTATGCATTACAGTAATGTATTCTCATGCCTTCCAATGAAGTCCACATTTTTAGAAAAATATATTATTGCATATGAAACAAGCAGGCATTCCAGTTTCAACACATTCTTACTCACAACAGTATATACAGTCCTACAGAGTCAGCATCTTCGAGAGTAACACTCGGGCTGTCTGTGGGGAAGGTCCCCGATGGATGGCAGTGTATACATGCATGTGCATCGCATCTCCCTGCAGGCTGGCTTGTTTCCTTGGCAGGTCCCAAGGGTCCTCTCTCCAGGCAGCCCTGGCAAAGCAGGAGGCACAGGCCTATGCCGCTTCTTCAGCTGAGCAGTCAATGCCCGCATAGGTAAACTTCTCATACAGTGTGGTGTTCACGTAGGTCTGGAAAAGCAAGCAGGGGTGCGTCAGGACCCAGGCTGCCTGGACTCTGCCCCTGTGAGGAGCGTTACAGCAGTAAACTCCCCTTACTTGTTTCTACTAAATGCTGAGAACTTGGAGGGCATGTCTCCTCCCCAGTCTCCCTCTCGTATTGGATGTTGTTTGAAATGCTTCCCCTTACCCTCTATCCTCAGACTCTGAACGTCTTTCTTGTGGTCTCTCCAGCATCCCCTGTATGTGTTCAGGGTCTCTAAGGCGCTTGCCTCTGCCCCCATCTTGCCTTTGCTTCTCCCAGTGTGATCTTGCCCACATCTGATTATCACTTCAATTCCATTGTTTGAAATCGCTTAAATTTAGATTTACTGGTCTCTTGAACCTTGTGTAAGTATAGACAACTGCCTTCCAGGAATTGGTACAGGTCTGGATTGTCTCCATGGTAACGTGCAGGCTGGACTCGTGCAGGTGTGGTTAGACCACACTCACTATGACCGAATGACAAAGTGTCAGGCTATGTGACTGAAAGGGCTGAAAGTGTCAGTCTGGGGGACCACTCCTTGTATATAAATTTTATTGTGACTTGCTCGAAGTGGGGAGGGCACATTCGTACGTTCATTTAATACCCAGGGCTGTACTCGAGCCAGAGGGTCCTCCTCTGAACTCAGCACTCACCTTGCGCTCCTCTAACATCCTATTTAAGGACACCAGTATCTGGGCAAATGAGGGCCTCTCATAAGGCTTTTCTCGCCAGCATTGTCTCATCAGGTCATACCTTTCAAAACAAAAGAAAATATAACCACTCCCTGGGTGCACATTCCATTTAGCGAAGTCTGGAAAACAAACCCCAGTGGCATTTGTTTGTCCCAACCCCTTCATCCTCCCCAGCTCTCCAGTGCCTGCCTGGGGAGCAATTCTGAAAGCATCTCGTTTCCCACCACTCTGTCTGGGGAGAAGTGTTCTCTGTCTGGAGCAGCATGTCTCTTGGACTGTTCCGTCTCTCAAAATGTTGGTGTTATTGAAAAAAAGGTTTCTTGATTAACTTTCTTAGCTGCCACCTGCCGTTAGAAGGCCATCTAAGAAGCAGGCAAGTGTCCACTGCCGATGATGCCAGTCCGTTACTTTTGGACTCCCCCTTTACAGAAACGTGATACATCTGTTCATGTGCTGCTGGCTTATGGTATTTTGTGACAACTGTCTAAAATGACTAACATTAAGTTAAAGATAGTTGCAGAATCAGAGTGAATTCGCCCTTAAATATTTGGCAGAATTAAGCAGTAAACTCCTCTGATCTGGGCCTTTTCTTCATATTATTGATGTATACAAGGCAGGATATCAGTGAACAATGTTTAGGAAAAACCAGTTCAGACAGCGCTTCCTCTAATGTGATTAGAAATACTTAAATTATTAAAACGCAGGTCCCTGAGACTTACCTTAAACCTACAGAGCCCAAGTGTCTGGCAGTAGGTTTCCACATACTGAGCAAATGCTTTAGGAAAGCAGTGCAGGCCCAGAACTGCCAGCCTTCTCAAACGGTTTAAACTTCACTTCCCCCATCATTGAGCTCCTACTAAACTTTTAGCAGAAGTTTATGCCCATATTTATGCCTCTTATACCAGTAACAATAGTACCTTCTTCTGTTACCCAAACTAGGTCACTTCTCTAAGAGTAAGAAATTATTTGCTCAATCTAGACTCTTGCATGCTATACCTTACCAGCTGGCTGCTTCTATAGTAGTTAGCTCTGGAAAGGTGTTATCACTGAATTTAGTGGGAGCAAGATGGGATGGAGAAAAAAATTCCATCATTCATAATAGAGCTCTTAAATCCCTACATCTAAAGTTAGGCTCAAGGTTTCATATGAAATTACTTATTCATCAAGAGTATGTACCCAGCGCAGTAACCTAGTGGCTAAAGTCACCTTACATGCACTGGGGTTCCCTAGGGATGCCAGTTATAATGCTGGTGGCCTTGCTTCCCATCCTTGGAAGGCAGTGGAGGACAGCCCAAAGCTTTGGGACTCTGCACCAGTGTGGGAGAACCAAAACAAGCTTCTGGTTTCAGATCAGCTCACCACTGGCCATTGAGGCCACTTGGGGAGTGAATCAATGGACAAATCTTCCCTCTGTATGTCTAACTTTCCAATGAAAACAAAGATTTAAAATAAAATCCATGTACCCCTTTTTATTTTCTGAATTTTCAACCATCCAAAGAGTAATTACTGATTATTCTTCCTAGATTACTTTATATGCCTGGAAAGATACTACTTCTGGCCCATCACATAAGTCTTAACTGAAAAAACTTATTCTGTGTGGGATTCCAGTTGTTTTGTAGCTGAAACAAAGTGCAAGCCAAAATTCTGATAAAAGGAGGAAGTTTATATTGGCTCACAACCTGAGGTTCAAGTCCTACGATAATCAGCCCCATTGGACTGGTGTTTGGTGGTGGCATTCCTGCGAGTAGGGTTTGGACAGGGAACACCTGCCTATGTACATAACGGAACTTTATCAAAACCGCCAGGATTTAATTATAGAACTGCCACTCCAGTCATCCAATCCAGAAACTTCCCCAAGTCCCTGCCTTTGTACATCATCATGAATTAATGGTACCAAGCGGATAGAAATTTAACATACAACTCAGTGTTACTTCAGATGTTGATGTATTCTGAACTATTGCATTTGATATATGTAAATGTGTCATTGTTTTTGTTAGATTCTACCCAAGAAATGCACAAAGGAAAGGAGAGATCCAAAGAGCTGACTTACACTTCATCATCGCAGTTCAGCGGCTTTTCCAGTCTGTAGCCCTGGGGCAGCTTCTCATAGAGCTCTGCGCATGTCATGCCACAGTAGGGCGTGCCTCCTGGAAGACAGGGAAGGATGCCGTGGGATGCAGGGGCTCTGGAGCCAGGAGGAAGATGCGTCATGTGAGGAAAAGTGAGCACTCAGGATGGCTCACCTGGCAAAGCCACCTTAAGGCTAGCCGTAAAGCACGGAGAGCACCAAGATATGACCATTTCTTCATGATGCGAGTTCTCTCCCTAAGTCAGTCTATATACAGTATGTCATGTCTTTCTGCAGTTAAAGCAGCAGTTCAGAGGATAGAAAACTTAAACAATGTGTAAAGGGAAAAAGGCAATTGATTTGTATGATACCTTCTAGTTTTTAAAATGTGAGCTTTAGAAAAATGGAATCCTAGTTTACATGGAGTTTCTTACAATGTACACATTTTCACATGCTGTTGAATCGCCTTCAAATATACTCCTTTTAATTCCACCTCAAAGTTTTAGAAGTACATCTTTTAGGAGCTGTGACACTTTTGCCAAAGCAGAGACAACCTGTATTATAATCGTGTCTACCAGGTCTTTAATATTAAAGGTAACATCAGGACTAAGACTCTCAAAAAGAAATACAGGAATAAATGCCATCTTAACTTGAAACGTGGAAGCACCACATCCAGATGGTGTCCTGTGGCATTATCCTGGGAGGAGGAGCCCTTTCCTCTCAAGAGTCTTACCTGGAAGGTCACATGGATACTTACCTAGGCTGACAATCTCCCATAGCAACACGCCATAGGACCATCTGCAGGGACGGGACAAGTGTGGAAACCAGACATTACCACACAGGTTGAACACTCAATTCCTACCCGAAACAAGGTGGCTGACCCATTCGCAGAAGCGTTAAGTCCCTGCCTCCCAGGAGAGAGCCCTGCCCACAGCCTCGGTTCCTTTCAAGCTAGCGGAAGGGTATCAGCAAGCAAACTGTTGTTTTGTTTTTACCAGACCACCAATTCCCCTCACATAGAGTATGCGAGCAGGCATGGCAGGATACAAGGGCAACTTCTAAACCAACCAGAAATCAGTTAACTCCTGTCTCTGGCTCAGGTGACCTGGAACAAGTTATGAACCTCTCTTGTAGAGACACCAATGTTATGCAGAAAGAACATGCAGGAGGCATTGTGCACACAGTGAGGGACCAGCAAAGCCCATTCACCAAGTCAACAACCTCTGGACTTTGGATTCTGCTTCTTTGATCAGGAGTGTGAAGCATGATGACCTACAAGTCTCTCTTCACTTCTGGGAGGCAAGCAGAAGTGGCCTTTAGTTCCCACCACCTCTAGCTCCCAGCAGGCACTTGGGGCTACTTCCCTGGAGCTGAGTCCAGGAAGTAGAGCCAGAGGAGGGGAGGGAGTGTGCCCCTTCCCTTCTAGGCATTAAAAAATCACAACTTTAAAGTTTCCAACATGGTAAAGGAAACCCAAAACATGCTACCAGTGACTTCATAAATGAATTTCTGCTCTTTTGGCTCTACGTAGTTCCTAGGCTTAGTCATTAGCTTTGACAAGTCCAGGCTATTCCTCTTCTCTTTAAACTTTCTGTCAAATGAGTATTTTTCAGCATTAAGTCTGTTTAGAGTAGGAAACTTACACGTCACTGTTGGTGGTATACACACTGTAATTCAGTGACTCGATCGCCATCCAACGCACTGGGAGCCTTCCCTGGAGAAGACAGAATGAGATGCTCATTAGAAGCTTAGGGACTGTGGGTGAGATTTCAGCAGGCCTGAAGTCATGACCTGCCCAGGACCATCAGGGCACTCTCTGTGGAATTCTACAGACACAGCATAGCAGAGATTACTGCCTGGTGTTTGTCCCAGCTACAGGCGTATCTGTAAAATGAAAGGCATGCAAGTATAAGCGATCTTCCAAAAGGTCGTGGAAATGTGTATTTAAGAATGCATGCATTTACATTTTATTTTACACAAATTTATCCTTTAGTTCCCTTTTCTGATGAACTTTCTAAAGTCTCCTTGTGTTGTAAGTCCAACTTAGCAACTTAGCTCAAGGGCCCATGCACCAGTTTTAGATAAATTTAACTCTGTATACAACTAGTAATCATTTGTTTACCTCGTGGCTCATAGGGACACATGAACGTTATAAAGAGCACATAGGCGTGGAAAGTGAAGTTTGAATTGTATGCAGGAAAGGGCAATGAGGACACCAGAGTGGAGTGGATTGGAAGGAAGAATTGACTGGAGATGATGCCAGTTTTCCATAGGAGCGAATGTTATCCAAGCCAAGATGTGTAGACTGCACCTGTGCTAAGGGAGATAAGCACATTCTAGGCCTAACACATACACACACACAATATGGATATATACATACACACGATATATGGATATATACATATCTGCATATACACATTTATACACACGCGTGCATTATGTAATTTACAGACAATGTGGTTTAAATTGGGTTTAATGACAGGACAGGATACATACACTGACCCTTTAGGCAATCTGGCCCTGACTTTGTCCAGGCTGTTTCTCAGCTTTTTGAGCCCAAGCTAGGCAAAATGACACACAGACAATAGTCCATGGAAATGGCTTGACTTTTTAGTTTGATATATTCCTATTTGTTTATTTTAGCTTTCATTGGCTATGCTTTTGGTGTCTTTCCCCGTTCCTATATCTTGGAGAGTGCTCCCTGATTTTCTTCAGCAGTTTGATAGTTTCTTGGTGCAGATTTAGGTCCATGATCCATTTAGAGCTGATTTTTGCATAAGATGACAGGTGCAGGTCTTGCTTCTTACCTCAGAAGGCTGCTATCCAATTGTCCCAGTGGCATTTGTTGAAAAGACCAGGTTTTCCCCCCCTGGACTATTTTCAGTTTTCTTGTCAAAGATTAGTTGGCTGTACCTGCGTGGGCTCCCTTCTGGTGATTCTACTCTGTTCCATTGATCATCTCTGTTTCTGTACCAGTACCAGCCTGTTTTGATGACTACTGCTCTGCAAAATGTCTTGAAGTTTGGAATTGTGATTCCTTCAGCTTGATTTTCATCCTTCAGGATAGCTTTGACTACCTGTGGTCTCTCCTTTTTCCAGATGAGCTTTTGAATCTTCTAATTATGAGAAGAATATTGTTGAGATTTTGTTTGGGGTCGTGTTGAATCTGTATATTACTTTTGGTAATATGGACATTTTGATGTTGATCCTGCTGATCGAAGCCCATGTTATGTTTCCTCACCTTTTAATGTCTTCTTCTAATGTTGTGTAACCTTCATCATGGAGGATTCCACATCTTTGGTTATGTTAATGCCAAGGTATTTGATTCTTTTCTGCTATTTTAAAGGGGACTGTACTTAAAGGCTTCTGTACAGCAATCAGCCAAAAAAAAAAAAAAAAACAGTGATGTAAAAGCTAGTAGCCACAGTGCCCTCTGGTGGTGCCATGGTGCACTGCTCCTTTGTTGCAGGGAGCTTGCTCCTCAGCATCTCATTTCTCCTCGCTGCCCCACTCCTCTCACTCACCCTGACCCTTATTTTCCCCTGTGCATTGTGGCCTTTGAATTCTTAACTTCTGTCTCACAGTGGCAGGGTTTTCCTCTAAGAATCCTTGCTACACGCTACCAGTGTTACAGCTCCTCTTGATAAAAGTCAAGCACAGATGAAAGAATTGCTCAGGACCCACAGGGAACTCTGCCAAGTCCTACAAACATAGCATAGCTATTGTTGCTTCGTGTTTGCCCCAGCTGCAGCCATGGGACAGGTGAGAAGAGCATCCAAATGTAATGGGTACATCCTGGGATCGACCTGCATTAATTCCTCCAGCCCACATAGCATCACATTCTCCCCATGCCAGAAAGGAAAGGGATCCTGTGAAGGAGATGGGCAGATGCCAGGCAGCCTAGGGAAGAACCGGGAGGCTGCAGTCAGTGGGTGAGCAATGATCCCTGCTTCTTTAAGACCAGACTGGGGTATGTGTATCCTGTACTGGATTACTTGGATTTGATCCACAGTTGCAACTCCTGATTTCAGCTTCTGGATAATGGACACCCAGGGTAGCAGTAGGTAATAATAGCTCAGCTAGTTGGGTCTCTGCCACCCACAGAGGAAACACAGATTGAATTCCTGGCTCCAGCCACACACCAGCTCTTTTGCAGGAATTTGGAAAATGAATAGCATATGGGAGCTCTGAGTCCCTTTCAAGTAAGTAAACTTAACAAGTCTAGCCCCAGCCCCATACTGAGAGAGCAGGTCAGATAAAGCTCAAGCTGTACAGGGCAGCCTGAAAGCAAACCCTTAGCGAAGCACCTGCACCTTCTGCAAAGTGATCGGCAAGCTCCCAGGGCCACGCAGGGCTCTCTGAGGGCCAGGCCTCTTCCAGAAAGTGGAGTGTAAGGATCCGAAATATCTTCACTATGCTTGAAACTGTATAAAAATAGGTGTGCTCTGGAAAACAGCAAGTCAAAAATGGATAAACTCTGGCAAAAGCATTTATTATAACTCCTTTTCCTTTTCAAGACATTTCTGTCTTTCAGAAACTAAAATAAATACGTGGAAATCGGATTAGTGGATAACCTCAGGCACCTGCGCGTTCCTGGGCAATCTGGTGCCCACAGAAGCCAAAGGGGGTGAGCCAGAGTGAAGGTGCCACTTGAGACATCCACATCTGCTCCTGGAGTGGCTGAGACTGAGTGTCAGCGCTGCTTCCGACTTGGAGAGGCGACATTTGATGGTGCAGGTATGTTGGTCTCCGACAGAAGCCAGGGAAGTGACATCTCTAGGACTTTACACTTCCACAGCAGGAACCGAAGCTGGATAGTTTCTCCCCTGTACTAACACTACTGCGCAGTTTAGTTTTCCCATGGTCTAGTACTTGAAATAGAAAAGAAACTCAAGAAATTCATGGGATGCATGCATTACCTTCCAATGGACTAGTGTTTGGGAGAGTGATACTATTAGCAGGCAAAGGTGGATTTAATGCGGGTCTCAAGTGAGAATGTTGCACTTTCAGTGAACATGGAAGTCTGAAGTGGGCCTCAAGAAGTTGTGTATGTCTCTGTAAGGACTCCTTGAGATTGAGGCACGCTTTAATTAGTAGTTATTTAATTTGAGAGTATTTTTTTTAACCTTGCTGCGTTTGCTGTACATGGAAGGGAATGCAGGCATGTTCTCAGGATTATGGGTGACATACCATGGGCCCTGACTGGGTGCATACTCATGACACTGAACCTATACATATAAATGGTCACAGATAATGATGCATTCTTTTCTGGTGGTCTGGAGAGTTTATCATTTTAGAAATAAAATCTTGGAAAGAACCATTATTGGACCAAGTCATATGTACTTGAATTCACAGCCAAATACCTGAGTCACCACAGAACAATTGCATTCCCAACACTGCCATCAGGGCAGGGAGGGCAGTTCAGAAAGTAGATGAACAGGGTCCGTGTTCTCAACTTACCATTGTCTTTTTCACATACACCTCTTGACCTCGGGATAATCCAAAATCTGCGATTTTGGCTACATAATTTTCACCAACTAGAATGTTCCTGGCGGCTAGATCCCTGTGAATAAACTGAGATTTCAAAAACATTGTGAATTTTCAGGATAATATTTGTTTTTTCAAATCATTTCGTTAGTGCAAAGGAAATAGTGAAGAAGTGATGATGGAAGAAGGAATTTTTCAAAAACCACCATAATCTAGTTCCATCAAAGTTCCTCTCCCAAATTCCCAGTTAGTGGATTCTGCCAAAGAAGAGATGTGTACCTAAGAGGCTTATGTGTTTTTTCGTCACCCATGAGTTGGTTTTTCAGTGGTGCATTTTTTTTTTAACTACATGGTGCTGTGATTTTTTGTTTGCTTTAACTTCATACCTGTTGTTGACTTTGTTTTGTGGCTTCTCATTTAAGGGAATGTAATAGTGATGGCATGATAGACTACTGTATCCAGATGTGAAGATATAATGCAATATGCATCGCTGCTTCCAAATTGAAGATGGGCTCAATGAAATTGTTGGACATATCTAGATGAGATGCTGGACTGTCTGAAATTGTACAAACAGTGTAGGAGCACACTTAAGCAGTCATGATTGCATCAGTGTTATTTATGAAGGAGTGTAATAAAATGTGGAAAATGAATTGGAGTGGGAATTTGGGAGGGAGGGTTCTAAGACCCTATGGAATCATACCATAAAATTAAAAAAAAAAAAAAGGCAGCCCTTTACATCTTCCCTTTTTCAGTCTCAAGAGTGCCTCTGCTGTCACACACTGTTTGCAGGTAAGCCCAGCTAAGTGAAGGCACCTCACCAAATGCATATTCTAAAACATACTGGGCAGGGTGGGCATCAAGAATTGAGCTAGGGACTGCAACACTGGCATCCCATCTTAGCACCTGTTCAAGTCTCAGCTGCCCCATTACTGATCCATCTCCCTGCTTATGTGCTTGAGAAAGCACAAGATGGCATTTGTCACTCATGTGGGAGAACTAAATGGAGTTCCAGGCTCCTGGCTTTAGTCTGGCCAAGCCCTGGCCATTGGAGCCATTTGAGAAGTGAACTGGCAGATACTTCTATCACTTCTTGTCTTTTTGGCAACTCATCAGATCAGTCTTAGAAAATACATAAGTAAAATTCACTAGTTAATATTCAATACTGACAATCTATTTAACTTGTATGAAAGTAGATGAAACATTATCAAAGACTTAAAAGTGAGCGAGAAATTATAGAGTAGATATTGGTACAAAATCCACATGGACATGTTAAACACAGGAAAGGCATCCAAAGCCAGGTTCTCAAAACCCACCTGTTTTTGGCTCAAGTAGTCCATACCCCGGGCCACATCTGCAGCGAAATGAAGCAGCTGCTGGGAGGAAAGCGTGGAAGCCATGCTGTTGGCGATGGCGAAGGCTGGGTCCGTCTCCAACACGCGGCTCTTGCGTAGGAAGTCCAGGAGGTTCCCGTGGGGGGCATACTCAATGGCCAGGTACAAGTAGCCTGTGGGGAAAGAGAAATCATTGGCTTAGCAGCTTCAACAGGTCAAGTTTTAAGATGGGCTATGCTCCTTGGCAATTGCCTATGAAGCCCATTTGATGTGCATTAGTAGAGGCACCCTGGACAACGCTAGCAGGCCACAGGAGGGAGAGACATCCTGTCCACATCTTCACTGGGAGTAAGTTGAACTCACAGCCCTGTTTACCCATGTAGACTGACAACGGCTTTCACTCACTCTAGCAATACAGTGAGCTCCAAGTATTTTGTCTCAGAGTCAGAACACCCACCTCACATTATCTTTTATTTACTGCTGGCCAAAATCTTAATATGGGCCAGCCCTGCTATTTCAGTCCATCTCTAGGTTTTCTTGAGATTTTGTATATCTGTATTGTATATATACACATACATATATTAAAAAATTATATAGTGTATTATATATAATATATACATATAGTGTATTATATATGTATTAAATATATATGTATATATAATACATAATGAATATATACATATATATGTATATATGAGTGATTAGAGATGCATTGTGGAAGAACCCACAACAGGTAACTTTCTTCCTTGCCTTTACTGTTCAAAAAAATATGCTAAGTGATTGTATTACTGCTTATGTCACAGGCCAATAGAGCCTAGTTTTAGAGTAGCATTTGGTTAAGAAGCCAGAAAACTCCAAGTGTTAAAAAAAAAAAAACAATAAGAGCTCATGGAAAAATTATGGTCCATTGTCTTATTTTGCTTTGATAAAAACTATTGATGTTTTGACAAACTTACAGAAAGATTCTCCTTTCAAAAACAAAGTAATTTATAATTTAAAGATGTTGCATACTTTGAACATCAAGGATATTTAAAAAATTGAAATAGTAAAACATGTATCCTATGTCATTGAATCCTATTTTACTCCTAGAAAAAATGAACCTGGATTCTGGTATGAATGCGCTTTCTCAACATCTTTAACAAATTATAAATTTTAAGTGCCAAACAGTTCTATGCTAATGTGACAACAGAGCAGAATTTTAAGATCTATATTTTCCTGGTTTGGGTGGATTGTCTTTTTTTAACTTTCATTTATTGCTGTTCCACATGAATTTGTTTTCAGGAAATGGCTCAGAAATGAATGTCATTACTTCATTATTTAACCTAGGAGACATGATCTGGTTTTCAAAATTAGACCCTTATTGGATCATAGAATGATATATTGCTTGAAGCACCAGTATTTTTAGTTTAATAGATTGAGGAAATGCACATAGTCTCTTTTCTATTGTTGGTGTTTCTGCTGCAAAGTCACAAGTGGCTGTCAAGTTTTAAATGATTACCGTGTGGAGCTTTTTAGCAGAAGCAAATTTTTCCATGGGAAAGTAAGCTGAAAGAGATTCAGAACTACACACCCATGCAACCTGCAGAGGTAAACTCATAGAAGATTCATGTCCATATCTATTCATTCAGCATTAATTACATGCATTGTAACAGCGAACAAACCAGAAACATCTGAATTCACATTGTAAGTTTAAAAATATGTACAGCACAATAGTAAAACTCTATTGTGGTTGTATATGGAAGGACTGTGGATAAAAATAAAGCTGTGTCATACAGTAGTTTATTCTTTAATCTAGGTATCATCAGTGCTTTAGCATTATAGTACATTGTTGAGCTTTCACATTCCAAATAGCCTCTACCTATTAGCTATTTGTAGTTCAACTTTCCCCAGGAAGCAAAATGACCCAGTGTAAGAACCACTGATCTATAGCTTTTCTGTTTAAGGCTTCACTTACTGTGGGCAGAGGCTCTTCTAGTTTTTAAACAAGAATCAACACACTTCACTCTTTCTAGGGGGTGAGGACTCTCATGATTTCCCCTAGTCAAGGTTGGGAAAATCCTGGGGGCAGCAAGGCTGGACCGGGTAGGAAGCAGTACTGGCTAACCCACATCAGCCTTGGAAAGGCGACCTTGGCACAGTCTATAGACGGAACTGGACCAGCATTTGTATTGAAACTGCAGCTTTCAAAAATATGTAACGTCCTTAAGATTTAGGATCTTTCCTAATTTCAAGTGAAAATGTGACCTTTGTCTTTTAATCAGGCAGGAAAGACAGGAAAATAGCATCTTACCCCGATGTTCACATGCACCCAGGAGATTGATGATATTCGGGTGGTGTCCAAGTTTGCAAAGAACCTCCAGTTCTCCTGCAAAGTCTCTGTGATCGTCCTTGGAGGCGTATTCTGGGAAGGAAGTCAGGAGTGTGAGTTTTCATCACACATTCAGAATCAACTGTCCGCCAGGTCCCTAGCACCTTCAGCAGTATTTGATTACCTGCAAGTCTGCAGAACCGCATTGCAAACCAAGTAGGTTACTCTAACAGCATGTTTTCCAAAACCTGGAATTGTTCATTTTTGGCTAGAAATTCCTTGTTAGTGGGAACTGTCCTATGCATTATAGGATGTGAAGTATCATCCCTAGGCTCTATCCCCTAGCTACCAAGAGCATATCCAGATATTTCCATGTTATCTCCAAGGGCCATAGATCACTGTGGAAGAGGACCACTACTCTCTGTAAGGTTTTCCTGTTCAAGCCATCAAATGTTCAGTGAAATGGACATTGTCAAGAGAGAGCTGCCTGTGACCTATTGCAGTTAAATCTGCCACTTGGAGACAAATGGTGTGGGAGACCTGGAGGTAACTCCAGGCTTCTGGCTTCAGATCAGCTCAGCTCCAGCTGTAGCAGCCACTTGGGGAGTGATCCAGCAGATGGGAGATCTTTCTCTCTCTCCTTCTCTCTATAATTCTGCCTTTCCAATAAGCATAAATAAATCTATTTTTTTTAATATACAGAGAGGAGGACAGACAGAGAGGAAGATCTTCTGTCCGATGATTCACTTCCCAAGTGAGCACAACAGCCGGTGCTGAGCCAATCCTGAGCCAGGATCCAGGAACTTCTTTCCGGGTCTCCCACATGGGCGCAGGGTCCCAAGGCTTTGGGCCGTCCTCGACTGTTTTCCCAGGCCACAAGCAGGGAGCTGGATGGGAAGTGGAGCTGCCGGGATTAGAACCGGTGCCCATATGGGATCCCGGGGCGTTCAAGGCGAGGACTTTAGCCGCTAGGCCACGCTGCCGTGCCCAAATAAATATTTTTTAAATGCCATTATTTTTGAAAGAACTCCCACACGTTAGTTTGCTTCCCACAGGCTTGAAGCCACTGGAGCTGTCATCCAGGGACTGAAACTGTGATCCATGTCTCCTGTGGAGGGGCCCAGAAACAGTTACCTGAGCTAATACCCACTGTCTCCAGGAACCCGCACTGGCAGGATGCTGGGCTCAGGAACTAAAGCCAGACACTGAAGCCACCTCTGATGTGGACGGCAGAGGTCTTAACGGCTAAGCTGAGTTGCCACTCCCACGAATGTGCCACAATTGAAGTTCTTAATAATGAAGTTTTGCATTTATTTCGGGAACTGCTTTGGATGTATCACTGTTCCTGCAAAAGTTGTCTGTCCCATTGCCTACTTAAGCCCTATTGCCTCTTCACATAGTCCAAGATAGAAAATTAGGTTCAGGTGAGATCTAGAAAAAAAAAAAAAACTGCTTTCGTAAGGTTCAACATTCTGAGGTGCAGAACCTGACATCAGAGTAGAGAAACCCAGTTGGTATTTCAATAACCCTTCCTGGGGATTCCAATACCAGCTGTGTCATGAGAACCACTACATTCAGAGAAGTGATAACCCCCAGAAGGGTAGCAGCCTCAGACAGAGCACCGGAATATGCTCACATCCCAAGGAGTGCCAACGTGCTGGTTAAATAGTGAGAGGCTCCAACCTGGGCATTTACATCCTGATTCTATGAACAGCAGCATCACCTTCAGCAGCCCCCAACAGCCATATCTGGCACCAGGCCACCTTGTGCTTTGCAGAAGATAAGGCCACAGAGAACAGATCTGACAGGAAGTGAAGCCTCGTCCCACCCTACTGAAACGCTGACTCCAGCTGTCCAGCCACTGACCTTTCATCCTCTTGATGGCCGCATCCATCCGTAACCCATCCTTCTTGATGCGTGCCTTCAGAACCTGGCCAAAATTGCCCTCCCCAATCACATCTTGGAACTTGATGTCATTCCAGTCAAGTACTGGATAAATTGTGGGATCTGGGTTGTTCTTGGCCTTCCTGTTCAAGGCCAGAGTTCCTGAGTTGAACTGCACAGCTGGTTCTTCCCTCTGGAAAGAAAAAGAAATTTTGTGTTAGGATGTTTCATTATTCAAAGGTGCAAAATAGCTTCTGTCTTTAATCTGCATAAGGTTAAAAAACGAAATGACACATTTAATTCTAAAACAGACTACAAATAGGTTCCATTTCACAAGCCCTTTCTGATGAACCAGCTGCTGTAAAGCCATGTGGGTTTAACTGAATAGCAACATTTGCAAAGATTAAGGAGGACAACACGTGTGCCACGACTTGCTGTTCCCAACTTAGATATCCTTGAGTTTCCTCCTCTGTTGTGTGAGGAGCAGGTATTCAGTTCTAGTTTGGAAAATAATATGGTGAACCCATATGAATCACAGGAGGTGTCTCACAGTTTTCCTGGCATCATCACAGTGCTGGACAACATACTTTGCTCTCAGTCTCCTCCTAAACCTTAGACTCCATAAAGCTTACTTTGGCTACAGGATGCTCAGGGTAAAACCCAGCACAGTGTCTCTTGTCTGCCGAATGCAAACTGCTGCTGAGAAGATTATGAAGAAGCACTTTTGTCCTGACAGACTGCAGCAATCCCAGCCCAGTGGTTGGGCTCAGGGGAGCCAGCTCTGACCTGCAGCCAGATACTGGTGTTCCCCTGCACCTCCTGGAAAGGAACCTTGGACACTCAGGCAGCTCTTCTTAAGCATAATCACTGTGTTGAGTATATTGTATTCTGATTCCCAATTTACCCAGTTAGGTACAAACTGATGTTATAGAGCCTGAAGTCCAAAATCGATTCAGGTTTTGGTCCACGCAAGGGACTCAAATGGAGAACCTGCTGGAAAAGTGATTTTAGGATCTTTCCTAGCGGTTAAAATTTCAAAGTGTCATGGACCATCACTACAGGCTGATGGGTACACAAGAATGAGAAAGACACACATGCTAATTACTAATAGATGAGAATATTAAGGAAGATATCAAACAGGAAATAGAAGTTTAAAAAGGAAGTGTAGGAAAATGCTGTTTTCCTAGAAATATGAAAATGTGGAGGGAAAATCTGGGAATGAAGAAAGCCAGGTTCAAAGTGACAGTAGGACCCATTCAGTACCTGTCCACATTGAGAACCTGGCTTCCTTCATGCCCATCCTTTCCAAAATGATTAGCTCATTCTACTCCAAGATTATTCTACCTACACACTTATCATGAGGATGACCACACATCCTACTTTGGCCTGGTTTCCTGAACAAGTATTAAGAGCACTGACTCACTCCTCACTCTCTAAACTGTGCTGGTTTGGACAAGAAATGATATGGCCCTATTGTTCACCTTCTTTCATAACAGAAACCTAAGAGAAGACAAGGCTCGTCTCTGGGAATTGCACATCCACTTAGCAACTAGGAGGAAGATGAGATGGGATACTACCACGTTTTGGAATGCTTGAGCCATTCTCCTCTGGACATTGGCCCTCTTCAGCTGCAGCATGATCAGAAAGGCTAGCAGCACTGTCAGGCAGGTCATTCCGGCTGAACCGAGGATGGCTATCAGCAGCATCTTCCCACCTCCCAGGTCTGCTCGTGCTGTGCAGGAACAAAGAAGCAACTGGGTTAGTGCAGTCAGCGAGGCCACCACTGGGAGAGAATGCAGCAGAGTGGGAATGAAATGATATCCCTAGTACCTCCTGCCCCTCTGCCTAAACCCTAATTCAGTAGAGATGGATCTGAGTCACAGCATTGATATTAGTTTTTCAAAAACTAGGTACTGAGGTGCTTTCAAAATGCCAGTGTGCTAACCATTAGCCATTGCAACTTGTTCAGCTTTCATTTCCAAGTAGAGGTCCAAGCAGAAGACTAGAGAATAACTAACGCAATGCCATTTCCTTTCCACAACACTTTTTTTTTTAACCTGGAAATGCTTAAACTTGACTGAAAATAAGAGCTCAGAGTCTATGATTTACAGGAAAAGAGAGAAAAGATAGAAGAAAGGAAAAGATAAAGAAACACTAACTTTAGTGTTCAGGTCAAAATAAGTTATTAGATACTAAGGTCTGGGGCAGGTGTTTACGGGGCAGTGGGATACATCCCATACGAAGTGCATAGGATTAAATCCTGCCACCTGGGAGGCAGCGGATAATGACCCATGTACATGGATTCCTGTCACCCATGTGGGAGATTCGAAGGGAGCTCCTTGTTCCTGGCATCATCCTAGCACAACTATTGAGAACGCTAGGGGAATGAACCAGTGGATAAAAGCTCTCTCTCCCTCTGTCTACCTCTCCCACCACTTAATACATCTTTAAAATAATAAAGACTGTTGCCTAATCCCTCTCTTTGTTTTCATATTAAAACTAAAACTCAACCTGTCTTTTTCAAGAAGAGCATGAGAACATGAAGTCATCTTCAGAATATTCTCCACCTTTCTTTGTCTCTATGTACAAAGATGTGGAATGGTTCAGTGGGGAGGAGGGGGCTTTTAGGGTTTTTTGTTCTTAATGTTCTCTTGGTGTTTTATGTATGGCCTAGATTAGAGCCTATGTACCTTTTATCAAAATGTAACTTATCATAAAAACTAGAGAGTGTAATCTCAAAAAAAATAATTGGCAGACTTCATTCTGTGAGCATTTTGCGGATATTCCAAAGAACCAGCACTGAAAATTCAGCTTGGTAACTCTCTAGGGAAACACGGACTTTAAAACTACCATAATTTTTCTGTAAAAACACTCTGATCCAAATTATAAATTTATAAAAATTTGTCTCCGTCAACTGTTCCTGTGTTAACAGTGGTCATTGCATGCTTGGCATTCTAGCAAGATCTTTTCTCTCAAGGAGCTCCTTTCTCGGGGACTGGTGGTGGAGATGGGGACCTTGTTACCTGCAGCATCACAGAAGACAGGTCAGAACAGAACAGAATCATGCAGGTCAACAGAAGAGTTCATTTGTGTACGAATGGAATGTGATTCTTGGAACCACCCAGTGAAACACCCCTCCCCATAAGCAAGTTCTACATTCTCCTTCCTCCATACATCAACATTCTAATTAACTGGAGTGTTCCTAGATTACTGGCTGAACATGTTGATAAGCTAATTTATTCTGAAAGTTACCAATAGGACATGGTTCAACAGAAACTTCTCAGGGACCCATTTAGAGATGGTCTAATCTATCAGGACAGGTGAGTTCTATCCCACAACACACATATTAGATAAATATCTTAAGACAGACTTTTTTGATGCTCTCCAAAAACAATTCCATGTTAAGCACTTATCTCTTCTACCAACCTTGAGATTCTGTGAGTGTCACCAGCTCCTGAGAAAAGGCTGGGTTGCTTGACCCTATGTTGTTCTCTGCAAACATATCCACCTCGTAAGCTGTTTCAGGTTCAAGGCCCTTGAGCTGATACTGGGTGATGGTGGCGTTCTTGAGCTTCACATCAATGTGCTGGTCTTCATGCTTGCCTCGAACTTTGTAACGGATGATAATAGAAGAAATAGAATAGCCCTCAGATATTTTCCAAGATATCAAAGCTGAGGAGTCTGTGATGTTGGAAATCTTGATATTTTCTGGTTGTGGAGGGATAACTAGAAATTTAAAAAAAATCACTTAAATACTACCATCTCAAGGTTTTATACTTCTGTGAGGCAGTTCATGTCAACCTATGAATGGCAAATGTGTTTTCTTGGTAATTCCAATTCGGTTGGTAACTAGATGGTGGCAGCTACTGACCTCCATGGAGACCTGAGAAAGTGGTAAGACAGGAAAAAGAAACACTCATACAGCACCTGTTGACCATTCATGCATGAACTGAAAGCATCAGAAATTCCATTACTCCATTCACTCTTACACTCTTCTTCATGCTCAGAATAATGGAATAATTTTAAGAGCTGCCATTTATATAGTATCTAGGAAGTGACATAAGGTAAAATTCTTAGATTGGCATCATATTGTCTTACATTACAGCAAACATATGATAGCTAACCCTTTGGGATTGGCTCATTTCCCTTAGCAGAATGGTCTCTAGTTTGGCCCATTTGGCCACAAACGATTGTATTTCATTTCTTTTTAATAGTTGAGTAGTAATCCATATTGTAGGTGAGCCACAATTTCTTTATCCAGTCCTCTATTGATGGGCATTTAGGTTGTTTCCATGTTTTTGCAATTGTTGATTGTGCTGCAATGAACATTGGGGTGCATGTTGCTTTCTCATGTAACAAGTCTTTTGGATTCCTAGAAGTGGTTAGGGTTGTTTATAATCATCTGAGATTGTTAATGTCCCTTTTATTACTGATATTACTATTACTCATAAATAATAAAGATCTAGTCCTCATTATACCTTCATTAGTGCCTTGGGACATTCAATGACATTTGCTCCTACTTGAAGACGCTGGACACTCTTTTTCACACCCTAGCAACACACTGATACCTTTGTAATATGTTCGTTAACTCATGTGAATGAAGGTTCAATATCCTTTTCTTTTTTCTTTTTCTTCTCTCCATGGTGGACTGTACTCAAGGGGATACATCATGGAAATGTAACAGAAATTAATATGTTCATAGGTAGAAACAGAAGTAAATCCTCATGCATGCAATACAAGCATGGAATCACAACGAAATGACTGACAATCTCCTACATTGTTGGGAGACACCCCAGTGGCAGCATAATGGACTTGCTATAATTCATGAAAAACACCCGTTGTAAGACTGGAGGGGAGAACAGAGGCAAAGGGAGGGAATGTAGGAAGGGGGAAAGGTTAGCCCAATGCCAACTAAACTGTACCAATTGTTATCAACTAAACTGTATCAACTAATAAAAAATAGTGAATATAGGAGAAATCATAATATGGATCTGGGGAAAAGTGAGATCACATTCCATCTGAAGCCAGAAGCAGGAGGAAAAAAAGAGATGCTTTGGAGTTTTCCTGCTTTAGAGATGTTTCCCTGCTTTCTCACTGAAACGCCTTTCCTGAGGGGCACAGGTTAGAAGGGAAACTGGTGACCTGAGAAGGCTTAACACAATTGAAAACAGCTAATGAATCAAGACCTTTCCCTTACTGTTAACTCTTCCTTTCGTCTGTGAGGCTGTTTACCCTGTGCTTCCAGGTCCAGGTCTCTCTTGACCCTCATAAACTGCATAGACTGATAGAGAGGCAATGCTGAGAGCTTTATCATGCAAAATTTAAACATGGGAATATACATTTCAAAAAGTTCACAGGCTTTTAATGGTACTAATTAGGACTAGTAAACATCGGCGGGCCCGGCACGGTGGCGCAGTGGTTAAGGTCCTCGCCTTGCACGCCCAGGATCCCATATGGGTGCCAGTTCTATCCTGGCAGCCCCGCTTCCCTTCCAGATTCCTGCCTGTGGCCCGGGAAAGCAGTTGAGGACTGCCCAAAGCTTTGGGACCCTGCACCCGCGTGGAAGACCCGGAAGAGGCTCCTGGCTTTGGATCGGCATAGTATCGGCCGTTGCACTCACTTGGGGAGTGAATCATCAGACGGGAGATCTTCCTCTCTGTTTCTCCTCTCTGTATATCCGCCTTTCCAATAAAAAAATAATAAAAATAAATCTTTAAAAAAATTGGCTATTTTATTCCATTTACCACTGTCCTACTGTGTGCAAATCATTACAATAACGAATCTTGCATATGTTCACCTGAGATTGTTAATATTCTTCTTATCACTGTTATTACTACTACCCATGGGTAACGATGATCTATTCCATACTACACTCACATTCGAATCACATGGGTCATACACCAGCACTAATTTCTACAGGAAGATATTGGACACTCTTTTGCACCACGCCAGCATCACACAGATATCCATGCTACAAATTTGATAACACAATGGAGATGAAGTCTCACTTTTTCATTTTATTTAAAATTTTTTTCCTTTTTTTCCCGTCTCAACCTAAGGGAAACTGTACTTAAGGGAAGGTATAATGGAAGTGCAGAGGGAATAAATATGTCCCTAGGCAGAAACAGACAGAAGTATATTCCTGTACTTGCAGTACACGGATGGACTCACAGTGAAACAACAGATAAGTCCCTACATCGTTGGGTGACACCTCAATGACCGTATGATGGCCTTCTGAGGGTTCTTGGAAGACACCAAGTGAAAGACTCGAGGGGAGAACAAGGGGTGGGGTGAGGAGATGGAGCGGGAAATTACAATGCCTGTTCAACTGTGTCCGAAAATAAAGAATTTTTAAAAATGAAAAAATAATCTTAAGGAAATGTCAAGATAAGTCTATTCTAAATTCTCAAATACTCCTCTTCATTCTAAACTTAGTCTTCCCATTGCATTGATTCCCCATGACATATTTATTAAGTTACACTGGCAACTTAAAGCTAGATACTAGATTGTCCACTTCCCAAATCTGATCATTAATTTCTACATCTAGCATCCACAATCAAAATTAATCAAGGATGTGTCTTTATTTTCTTTACATCTAGTAACAATCTTGTATGTTTTTGCACAAATGTAAACATGTTTATTACAAGGGGATTGCAGAGTATTAGGGATACTAATACTTCCAGACTATTGTAAACATTTAATATATGTATCATTGCACTTCAAGAGACTTTAACTTCCTAAAGCAATGCTCTTCTAAGTCCATTAAATAAACAGGCAGTGCTTTTCAGATACCTGCCAGAAGAATGAAGAATACAATACGAGAGCTTAAAATCATAAATTTACATCTACCAGTATATCTATTTTCTGCTGAAAGAAGACAGCCTTTGAGATAACACAGTGCACCTTTGATTTAGATTTAGCAGATGTAGCCTCATCAGTCCCCTGGGTGAGTTTAAAGTGAATTCTAAAACACTTTAGGAAACAATGACCAAATCGCAGATGATTTAGAAATGGAATAGCATTGCTAAAGGAACTTCTCCCAGAACAAAACCTACTTTAAATCGAATTGTTGTCGTTTAAAGAGATACTGATGCTGTTCTTGGTGGAGACTGAAACATGACTTAGAATCCTAGCCCACACCACTTACTCGCTCTGTAAATCTGGGCATGCACCTCACCTTTCTTAGCTGTTTGATTTGCTGGTGATCCTTACACTTCTCTCCACATAGTCTACAGATAAGTGTTTTTAATCAGGAAAGATTGTAAACATTTTTCACATATGTTTGGAGCCATATGCCAAATCTAATTCATTATACTTCTTAGGCTAGATGAAATTAGTTGCTTTGTAAAATCCATGTTTTATCGCTGGAAGCATTAATTTTACTTCTGAAAAAAAAAATCTATGCAGGATTAGTCTATGCTAACCATAATTCTAATGAATACATCAGGTAAAATTTAAGCATTCTCTTGCACATCCTCTTTATCTTATATCCTGACCTTGTACAGACCAACTCCTATACTGCCACACTCAACACACCCACCACTAGTCCCCACCAAATGCATATAATCACTCAAAGGCAAGAGTACTTCCAATGACAATTCACTTTCATTTAATCCTATGTGTGAGAACTGGTGGTATGATTTTGACAGCGTATTGTTTTAAAATGGGTAATATTTACATGGGATAGTGAATAAACATCCAAACTAATTTTGAAGAAGCAGCAAGTGGTTCATCCCACAATTATGAAAACACTTTACAAATATATAATCAGGCTGGAAATTGAATAAGCAAAGAACAGACCATCTGGAAATAGATGTAAAATGAATATAAGAACTTGACAAATGGGCCCAATACAATAGCTTAGTGGCTAAAATCCTGGCTTTGCGTGTGCTGGGATCCTATATATGCACTGGTTCATGTCCAAGCTGCTTCACTTCCCATCCAGCTCCCTGCTTGTGGCGTGGAAAAGCAATAGAGGACGGCCCAATGCCTTGGAACGCTGCACCCATGTGGGAGACCTGGAAGAGTCTCCTGGTTCCTAGCTTTAGGTCAGCTCAGCTCTGGCAGTTGTGGCCACTTGGGAAGTGAACCAGCAGGTGGAAACTCTTTGTCTCATTCTCTCTATAAAATCTGCCATTTCAGTGAAAATAAAGTAATCTTAAAAAGTTGACAGGTGACACAGAAAGCATCACGTTACTAGGAAGCCTATTCAGTAGACAGCCTTGGTACCACTGGTTCGCGCATTGGCTGTGAAGCAGCATTTTAAAGATCTCAGGTTAAGACAAAACAATGTAACAAGTAGAACAAAATCTAGAGAATATAGTTCCAACTTTGATTAAAAAAATAATTCAAAAGCACAGAAAAGGCAAACCGAAAAGATAGATTTTGATGCGTCTGCAGCCTTATTTAAGGTATCTCTGGGACCACAGACAACACAAACAAGGTTAAAATAAGTGATCAGGAGAGCATATTTGCAATGCACATAATATTAAAATCCAACTTATATAAGCAATTTACACAATAGGAAATTTATAATATCAAGCATATGAGTACTAAAAAAGCCTAAACGTGCAGTAAACATAAGATCCTCAACCTTGCTCTTAATAATGAAATGTTTTTTGAGAGTAACAAAATTAAAAGGTGCATCAGGTGATACAGATAGAAGACAAAGATAGATGCAGAGATGGGATTGGGGAGATAATGCTTTGTACACTTTTGGACAATGCACACACTGAATAGCCACTTCAGAGGGACATTTTTCATTGAAAACCCCTTACCCCTATGTATAAAGCAACTGTATTTGTTTATGATAGTAAAAAGGAAAAAAAAAGAACCTCAAACATCCATTAAATTGGAGTAAATGTTATGCTTTATTTCTAACACTGTTAACAGAAGTTTTAATGCATGCATCAATCAGAGCTAGAGAAATTAACCCGGGTTGAAAAAATGTTTATTCAGAAGAATGACATGTATGCATGTATATGTATGTATGTCTATATATATATATATTAAAATGAGAAAATAGTGAATGGAAAGATACATGAGCTCATAATTCAGGTTATTCCTGGGAATAAGGGAATAAAAATGAATTAGAGGGAATGGCACAGGGTTTTGATATGCCTGTTACTCCTAACACAGATCAATAGAATGGGCCAGTCCCGGCTGTTGCAGCCATGTGGGGAGGGAAATAGCAAATGGAAGATTGCTTTTCCCCATCCCCACCCCATAACTCTCTCAAAGAAATATTTTTAAGAGTATCTTTATACTAACAGTACTGTCCCAACTTCAGGAGTCACTGTTAGGAACGAGAGAGGCTGGAGAAACACAGCCTGCTCGCACATCTATTGTTGAGGTAGTAGAGAACCAACTCTGGGTACTGGAAAGAGGCCATACAACCCTGACTCTAGTGGAAGTCAGTATGACCAAAAACTAGCTCCCCTTTCCAAGAGCTATGCAAGTGCCATAGATGCAGCTCTTATTCACTTATCAAAACAGAACTCTGCTTAATGATGGAAAAACCTCTACTATTGCAAAAAAAAAAAAAGAAAAAAGATTCTATAAAATTTTAAATGGCAATCAGAAGCAATGACCAGTAGTTTAAGTCATTTTATTGTGTGCATGTGTGTATACATATATATACATGCACGCCTATATATGTATCTACACACACACACACACACACACACACACACACACACACACACACACACACACACACACACACCTCCGCCCCCCGCAAGAATTGCCTGCTGTGAAAGATTTTCAAACAGAGCTTTTAGGATTAGAAAGATCCACCTGTACTTAAGTTAGCACTGGGTGCATACAGATACATGCCATTCCTTAGAAAGTGTCCTGCAGCTGAATAACATAACCCTAGCACATCTTATTCATGTCACTAGTTTATTTAATAAACAATGGAATGCACTTTTTCCCCACAGTCTTACCGGAATCATGCCAATACAAATGCAGCTTTCCTTACACATTGCAGGTAATTAAAATGATTCAGGGAAGAAAGCAGTTAGCCAGCATTCACAGCTTCTCACCTTTCCTGATTTCTAAGCATAGTCTCGATGTTATGGTGGCTGAGTCCTGGCAGGCTGGGGCGGTCCCAGTGACTTACCATCACTGAGGGTCCAGGCTGTGAGGTCTTCACTCCATTCCCCTTGGGCCTTGGTGTTGACCCTGGCTCGGACCACATACTGCTGCCGAGGGTTCAAGTTGTTAAGCAGCACTGAAGTCAAGTTGCCTGGCACTTTGATATTTTGTTGGTCATTTTTATCTATCACAGATCTCCTCTCCACTTCAACATAAAAGTCATCCTCTGAGCTTGGAAATATTGGTTGCCAGGTCAAATTTAGAGTGGTCTGGCTTTTGGGTAGCAGACTGAGGCCTCGTGGAGGAGGAAGTCCTGCGGGGGTGGGAAACACAAAGATCATGGAGATGTTTACACGGAGAGGAGGTAAGGGAAGGCCCAAAGACAGCTCCAGAGAAAAATCTTGGCCTCTACAATATGAAAGACAACTTAACATTCTATCAAAGAAACACAAACTAGCAGCCATATAGTATTCTTTTCCATACCAAAGTATCAAGTATTTAAAATAAATGTAATATTCTATTTGAGCAATTATAATGCAGAAATACAACCTCTTTGGAAAGTAACTTGGGGATATTTTTCAAGAGCACTAGGAAAAACCGTATTCTTTGGCCCTATTATCTGACTACTGAGAATTTATCCTAAAGAAATATTGCAAAGAAAGAGACAAGGATAAGGACATGAAGTTGTTCCTTATATTATTTATGGTAGCAAACAATTACAAGGAACCAAAATGCTCAAAATAGGGAAATGCTTCAATAAATAATTATATTATTTCAATGGATTAAAATAGATTATTAGGAAAGCTAGGCAAGCCCAATAAAAATATTTATAGTTCATGAGAAAAATCTCCGATTGCAACTTGATAAAAATTATCTCCACAGTTATGAAGGATAGGAAGGAAGCTGATAAAAATGAAAATAGTATATGTACCAAGGTTAAGGAAGGGTTATGGGTGCAATGATTTAAATATAATTTGCCTTCTACAAACTCATGGCTACAGTTTAATTCCCAAATTCTTATATTAATGGGTCTCAGAGGTTAGCAGATTTTTCCAACTATGGCAGTTAGAGGTAGGACCATTTGGAAGTCTTATCTATGATTTAATCCTGGTGGTTCTGAGAGAGAGAGAGCGAGAGAGCGAGAGAGAGAGAGAGAGAACAGACACATATTCCCTGTGACTTGCCATATGTTGGGGATACAGCTCCTCAACTTTGAACCTCTATAGCAGCCTGCTTCAGGTATTTCATTACAGTAAGGAAAAACTGATTAATTCAGCAGGTAAGCATTTAATATCTTTGTTACAATTTAAAGACATTTCACATTACTGCCCCTTCAGAAGGAGAATTTCTGACACCGCAGCAGCTGTGTTGGCAAGGCAAGGTCTAGGTGTGCTCTGATCACAACCAAGCATTGCCTGTGACCACATGCAGCCTGGATAAAATAAGCACAGAACCTTGGCTACTAAATAGGTGGCTGATGGAAGCAATACAGCTTTAAGATCAGAGAGACAGGAATGTGCTACTTTGGTTTTGCAAAGCATGGGCAATTTTGTAACCTCTCCAATTCCATATGTAAAATGAAGCATTCATCTTCTAGACTCAGGAGGAATAAAGGAAATAATATGAAAATGCTTAGCAGCCGGCATGATGGCTCCATTGACTAATCTTCCACCTGCACCAGTTCATGCTTCAGCTGCTCCACTTCGCATCCAGCTCTCGGCTTGTGGCCTGGGAAGCAATGCAGGATGGCCCAATGCCTTGGGACCCTGCGCCTGCAGGGGAAACCCAGAAGATGCTCCTGGCTCCTGGTTTCAAACTGGTTCAGCTCTGTCCTTTGCAGCCTTTTGGGGAGCAAATCAGCAGATGGAAGAATTTTTTTTTATGTCTCTTCTCTGTAAATCTGCTTTTCCAAAATATGAATCTTGAAAAAAGGGGAGAAGGGAAGAAAAAAGAAAAAAAGAAAAAAAAGAAGAAAGAAAAGGAAAGAAGGAAAAGGAAAAAAGAGAAAATGCTAAGTCCTTAGGGTGTCTGTTAACACTAATTTCTCCTTTTTCCTCCCTCCCCTCCAAGTCTTAATTTGTGCGGACACAAAAAGAAGTCTTCACTTCAGTCAATAATGCTAAATTGATTTTCAAATTTCAGACATAAAATCTTTTCAAAGATACAACAAAAACCTTGTAATTTCACATTCTTAGTTGGCATCTCATCCCTGGAGGCCAAAGATAGGTTCTGGGAACATGAAAACATTTTTGATTATTACGATGATTCGCAAAGACCCATAGGACACTGTGGCATTAAAACGTCACAAAGAAGTGAAGTTTATTAGGACAAAAGAATCTTTGGAGATTCTGTGAAGAGGTTAAAACAAACAGCCTGAGAACCACTGCTCCAGCTGTGGTGAGGGGTGGAAGGGTCAGCTCCCATCAGCAGCAGCAGTTCTGAACGGAATCAGAGTGGTGAGAAGCAGCCACGGGCTGTGCACTTGCTCCGCACTGTGCTGAAGGCCTTTCTGATCCTCTCTCTCTAATCTTTGCTAATTGACGGTGATGACATCCGTCGTTATGCTCACCTCTGGAGTGTAAATTCTGTGGGTTATAAACCTTGGCAGTATGGCATTGGAGTTTGCACACCAGTTCATTTGCCTATACCTACAATGCCATAATACACTTAAACAGCAGGATGTTAAACATGGAACTGTTACTAAAGGACTAAACTACTGTGATTATGTGGGGGGGGAGGTGGTGACAGGGGCAACGATGGGAGGTGGAGGGAGGGGAGCAGGAGAGAGAAATCTCAATAGCTGCAAAATTGCATCATGGAAAATAATAACAATAAATAAATAAAATTCTTTGAGTATGTGCCCCAAATTAAGCCAGCAGTTGGGATACCCACATCCAAGAGCAGTGTGGACTTGAATCCCTCCTCAGCTTCTAATCCAGCTTCCTTCTGCTGAGCACCTTAGCAGGTGATGGCTCAAGTACCTGCATCCCTGCCACTACTGCTGGAGACCTGAACTGAGTTCCTGGATTCAGTCTCAGCCTGATCTGTTCCTGAATTACTCACATTAGAGAGTGAATCAATGTGTCTAGAAATCAGTCAGCTTTTCTCTCTCTCTCTCTCTTTCAAGTAAATAAAAATAAATAAAATTTAAGTTCTCACATAAGCCACCTACATACTCAGACAGGCTTGCAGGGACAATGCAGAACCGACAAAATTTTTTAATTGCTTCCTAAAAAAGATCTATTTATTTTTACTGGAAAGGCAGATCAGATTTCTAGAGAGAAGGAGAGACAAAGATCTTTCATCCACTGGTTCACTCCCTAAATAGTCACAATAGCTGGAACTGAACTGAACTGAGCTGAGCTGACCTGAAGCCAGGAGGCAAGAGCTTTTTCTGAGTCTCCCATACAAGTGCAGGATGCCAAAGCTTTGGGACATCCTCTACTGCTTTCCCAGGCCATAAGCAGGAAGCCAAATGAGACATGAACTGGCACCCATATGGATCCTGGCATTTCCAAAGTGAGGATTTAGCCATTGAGCCATTGCACCAGACCCTGGAGCCAACATTTTATAGAATCTATGCAAATCCCCTAAGCCCGTCCTTTTCTTTCCTTTTGGGGACACGATAACATTAACCCCCCAATGCCCCCAAAGCCCCTTTCTGAAATTGGCTCAGATTGTGTTTTCTTCCCTGCCCCCTGGATTCCTTGGCCTTCACCACTTCAGTCAACACACACAAACAGTGTAACTGCCAGAAGAATTTAAAAAGGAACAATCAGCAAAATTTACATGATGGGAAAAGAAAAACCTTCCTAAGTTTCCTAGCCAACCCTGAGAACTACTTTGAAATGTTCCAGGAGACCTGTAACTACATCCTGGCTGGAATGTATTCTGAGGGCTGAAGACAGTGCGGTGCAGGTCTGTGAAGTGTTTAATGGTCTATTCCATTAAATACTTTCCATTTGAGTCAAAAGATGACCTTTCCTTTTGATTCATCAACACTGACCTAAGGGAGAATTAACTACAATTTGCCATTCAGCAACAACCTGATCACACAGAAGAGGCTTCTTTGATGCTGGTCATAGCGATATTCCTCCTGCCCTTAATTCATATATGGTTCCTGTTTGTTTCGATATTCACAACTCAGTGTGTTCTTAAGAAGATGTTTGGAACTTGTGCAATGCTTCTAAGAGGTCCTGAGTGGCTTTTGAGACCCACTGTTTCTTTAGAGGTCAGATGGAATTAGGTAGGGTTAAAAAAAAAAAAAGAAAAAAGAAAAATTAGATAGGGTGTGTGTGTGTGGTGGGGGTGACAGAGATGGGGGCTCTGCCGGAACACACAGTCCCTGCACAATAGCAGCGAGCTGTCCATCCTCATGCTCTCTTGTATATTCTGCCTCTACTTTTCTGCTGCTAATGAATAGACTAACAATAGGAAAGAATATGAATTGGTGTAAGCAAATGATACTTTTGGGCTTCTGGATAAAATAAATATAGAAACAGAAGGACATGGAGCCAGATGATGTAGTGAAGTGTGGGAGATCGCCCCTAGATCTCTGCCTGCTTGGCCTGTGTGGGAGGTCATAGGCACAGGGAACACTGTGTCCCTGGGGCAACCCCCTGACAATGGTTTCAGCTGAGATCTAAACTTGACCTGTTTGCCAGCTATACAGACAGAGCAGTAGGCTGCACGCCAGTCTCTCTTCTCTGTCCTTGGACAAGCTTTGCTGGGACTTCATTGATAAGCAACTCCGAGAAGTCAAAAGCAACTCACAGCCTATCTGCCTGTGACCTGAAGCATACCTTCCAGCCTGTGTTGTATCTGACCTGTGACTTGACTGAAGAATCCAGAGAGATAGACATGCCTTCTAGCCAATCACAGTGTCATTGTTGCATGGGAGGACTGTTGGGAAACGCCCTTCTGCCTTTCCCTTTCCTAGTCTATATAAGTTTGTGCTTGCTTTACAATAAACGGGCATCCTCGATTAGACTCTCCGGTGGTTCTTGCGATGAAGAACACCATTGCCTTACCCCCTCGGTGGCTTTGGGGACCTGCTGGCAGGAAGCCCCCAAGAGTGATGACTACACTGAGACTACTTTCCATCTATAAAATGAGGAAGATGAAAATACTTAACCTCCAAGGTAATGTGAATTAAATATTTGTGAGCCATTAATTCTGCTATGTAGTTGATACTTTGTATTTATTGAGTACATTTACAATAACGAATTTACTGGTTGTTTAATAAAGGCCAGAGGAAAAACTACTCAAAATCCAACAAAACCAACAAATAAATTGAAGAGAGTGACTTTTAAAGCACTTTCCAAGAGATAGCAATAGAATGATTACATATAGTAAACAAAGCAAAGAGACAGCCAAGAGAGCTTTACAAGGGTCACCCTGATTTTCAGAAGAGGAAACCTGGGTAGCAGAAAGCTGGAGCCCGGGTTAGCATCAACCAGACTTCAACAAATTCAAGTGCTCTTGATTTAACACAGATCACCAGATGCTGAATAGCACAGATAAATCAAGAAACCTTTTCTCACATATTGTTTAGAACATGTGGACCTAAGATTAGGAATTAAAACATCACTTGGGAAACCCACTAGACATTCAAATGATAACTCCCCAGCCCCACCTCCACCCCCAAACTACTGAATCAGAAACCCTAGGGCATTTGACCAGCAATTTGGTTCAATAGTCTCTCCAGGTGATTCTGATGGCTGCAATTGGAAAACCACTGTCTGACATTGAGACTCAAAGGTAAATATTGCAAGACAGAACCTAAAGAGATAAAAGTGACTGCCTCCAGCAAACAGGGTTGGATGGTGGTAGAAGCAAGGGTTGTTCTATAGATGAAAGCTTTGCATTCCATTTGATGTTTTAACCATGTACATGGATTATTTTGAAAGAGTAGAAATTGTTTTTGAAAATAAACACACTGGTATTTCTGAAGCCTGTGTGTGCCAGGAGCAGGGCCTGAACCCTTAAGGAGGAAACAGGAAGTGGGGGGTGAAATACAGGAGCCAAGGCTCAGCATAGTCGCTGCTCAGTAAATCCTGAGCCCAGGGGATGGCCCTGCCTTCCTGAAGGCTCATCTGCTTCCTTCTCTGTCCTCCTGGCTGGCTACTGATCCCCTCCCACGGGGACACAGACCAGGAGTGGAGCCCAAATAAAGGAACAGCTTGGCTCAAAGTCACTAGGCTTCCTGTCACTTTCCCACCCATTCAAAAGCAAACTCCTTCCACCTCCCTCCCCACCCACCCACTCACCCGCCACCTCGCCCTTCCTGCTCTTCCTTCCTTTTTCCCCTTCCGCCCACTCCCACCGGGTCTGTAAAAAAAAAAAAAAAAAAAAAAAGCCTGGTGGCTTGAACCAACCTATGGAGGCTGTGGTGAAGCGGCGCACGGGTCCGGGATGCCCCTCTCCGCCCTCGCCTCGGCGGACCAGCTGCACACACAGCTCATATTCCGTCCGTGGTTCCAGATAGCCAAGTGTAACAATTTCATTTGTCACTGAGGAGAGGGCAAGTTCAAACATTTCAGTTGACATTCTCTTAAACTGGAGTGTTCATTGTTGCAATGAAACTAATTTTAGGTATTAAAAATTACAACGTTTTTGTCAAAGACAGAGGCAATTGCATCTTCAAGACCTTGTTAATAATTGCTAATATAAGGAAAATTAAGATGCTCCTTTTCAGCAAGCCCCTGAATTCTCAGCAACTGTATTCCCAGTGTAAACAATTACCTTTCACCATGACCAGGAAAGATCAAATAGCCTAAAAAAAAGACTGGAGATCTTCGAAGCCTGGAACCAAGTACAGGTAGAGATAATGACCCAGGACACAGGTTGGTTCTGTGTCCCCAGCATGCAGAACACAGAGGATTCCTGCACCCGCTCCTGGACACTTTAAAATGGAATTGGTTATGGCAGCCACCAAACATGAGGTGGAAAGTTAAGCAGAGAGAAAGGATTTTCCCTCTTAGGGGGATTCCCTTTTCTCCTGGTGCCACATCCACAGCACGGCTTCCTGTTCAAACCTTACCTTGAATGTGACGCCAACCTTCATGATCATTAACAGGTTTGTACAGAAGCTTCTTGGATTTGATGGGTCCATCTCCGAAGTAAGGCTCAGAGCTGATGTTGATGATTGCAAAGTTGTGTCCAGTGTCAATCACACTGGGGGCATTCAGAGGCTCTGGAAGAACTAAAGTTTCAGCACAGTGGGATGAGTCTTCGGGCATGGGAGTGGGTGCTTTATTATCCTATGTGAACACATAGAAAGCATTTCACATATCCCACCAAGTTAGTCTCCTTAGAGTTTTCTGCACAGATCCCAAGCAGTCACTTGCTCTCTGCTTTGCTCATGGCAGTCCTTCCTATTATCCTTAGAACCTGAAATCTGCATCATGACCTGCCAGGCATTGCACAACAGAACCCGTGCCACTTCTCAGCCAGCTCTTCCTCTGCCCTAAAGACCACAGTCCTACCAACCTTTCAATTCATCCAACACACAAGACACGAAGCTCCTCTTCATCTTCGGTTCCTTGCTGATACTGTCCTATGCAAGAAATTCCCTGGATGGTAGCCTAGCAGCTAAAGTCCTTGCACATGCTGGGATCACACATGGCCATTGGTTTTGCTCCTAGCAGCCCCAGTTCCCATCCAGCTCCCTGCTTGTGGCCTGGGAAAGCAGTTTAGGACTACCCAAAGCCTTAGGCCCCTGAACCCACGTGGGAGACCTGGAAAAGACTCCTGGCTCTAGATAGGCTCAACTCCAGCCGTTGCAGCCGCCTGGGGATTGAATCATCAGATGGAAGATTTTCCTCTCTGTCTCTCCTCCTTTCTGTATATCCAACTTTCCAGTAAAAATTAAATTTAAAAAAAAAGGTAGGTGAGTAAATTTATTAAGTCATCATTCACTTTTTTTTAAGGTGTTCACAACAGGCGAAACAGTCGAACCAGAACCAAAGCCAAGAGCCAACAGCTTCCTCTGGCTCTCTCACATGGGCACAAGTTCCTAAGGCCTCGGGCCATCCTCTACTGCCTTCCAAGGCCACAAGCAGGGAGCTGGATGGGAAGTGGAGGACATAACAAGTGGAGCCAGGACATAAACAGGTGCCCCTATGGGTTCCCAGCACATGCAAGGTGAAGATTTTAGCCACTAAGCTCTTATGCCAGGTCCATGGTTCACTTCTATGATCAAGTAACCCTACCTGTCTGTTTAAACAAGCAGATGATATTTTACTGCAGCCATTAATGCCAATTTGTATGCTTGTATAAAAGTGAAATAACTGTACTATAAACTTCCTAGTAACCTATCATGTTATTTTTTTTACAGAGAGTCAGAGAAAAGGAGACAAGTTGGGAATTCCTCTCAACTGATTTACTCTCCAAATGCATGCAATAGTCAGAGCAAGGCCATGTCAAAGCCAGCTGCCAGGAATTCAATGCAGGCCTCCAATGCAGGTGGCTGGCACCCAGCTTCTTGGGTTATATACTGCTATCTCCCAGTGTGAGCATGAACAGGGAGATGGTATCCACACAGGGGTTGGCACTCAAGCGTGGATGTGGGTTTCTCAAGAGATGCCTTAACTTCTGCACAAAATGCTCAACCTCTTTTCTTTTTTTTTTTGTCTGTTAACATGGTTTCTTGAGATAAATATTATAAATTGCAAAAATCTTAAGTATATAGAGGTAATAAAAGAATTTTTGGAAAACAGTAAGGTAGTAAGGCAAATTTCTTTGTAAAAACCATGAACTTCTGTATGTTTTCATTTTACTAGTTTTCCATGAACTTTTTAAAGACCCTTCATATTTAGCTCAGGGCATTTTATCTATATATGCACCAATATAACCACCATACAAATTATGATACAAAAAGTTTCAGATGCACAATAAGCACCTTTTGGCCCTTCCTGGTTAATATCTTCCACCCAAAATGAGAAACTATTTTGGATTTTGTCAACAAAGATCAGCATTGCCTAATTTTTACTCTATTTAAATGAAATCACAAAGCATATTCTTCCTTTTGCACATCCTTCTGTGATCATCAATAAAACTCTAAGAATCATTACTTTTAATTTTGCAACTAAAACGATTTAATTATTTGAAGGCAGAGATACAGAGAAAGATCATCCTTCTGCTTCTTCATTGTTTAAATGTTTGTAGCAACCAGGGCTGGCCCGGGTTGAAGCCTGGAGTTTAATGGGTGGCATCCAGTGGCTTGAGTCATCCCTTGCTGCTGCCCAGGGTGTGTATTACTAGGAAACTGAAATTAGAAGTAGCCAAGATTAGAAACTGGGCACTCAGATGTGGTGTGCAGGTGTCTCAAGTGGCATCTGAGCCAATGTTCCTAATGCCAGTCTCCCAAACCGTACAATATTATGGGCAGAATTGTGTTCCCACAAATTCCATATTTTAATGCCTTCACCACCAGTGCCTCAGAATGTAACTGTGTCTGCAGACTGGGTTCTTAAAGGGATAAGAAGTTACACATCAGTCATTACAGACAGTTCTAACCTAATCTGACTGCCAAAATTAAAGGAAGATTAAATTGGGACATAAATGTTCAGAGTCAAGACCTCATGAAGACACAGGGAAAAGGTCACCATCTACATGCCAGTGAGGTCTCAAAGAACAAATTCTGCTGGCACCTTGATTTTCAACTCCTGCCCTCCAGAACTGTTGGAAGTTTTTGTTATCTAAGCACCCAGCTGACCAAGAAAACTAATATGTATCAATATTGAATACTATAACTCATCTATCCCTCATCACTTTGGACATTTTTGTTAATTTTAGCTTGGGGATATTAAGACTGCAACAGCTCTGAACATTCTTGAAAGATTCCTCCTTCTAATGCATACATTTATTTTGGATACATATCCAAGAGTAAAGCTGCTGGGTCATAGGTTGGAACATGCATAGCCTTGTCATAAATTACCAGGTTTCCAAGGTGATTGAACCAATCTATATTCTTATAGTAAAATCTAATGTTATCAGTGACTTAGGCCTGAAGTTGTGTCTGTGTATAGCTGTTGAAAGCTGTCTCTTTTATTACAAAATATAAGTTAGAATCTGTGGTTCTCCTGTAGGTTAGTAATATTTTTTAAAAATCAGAAGAATTTATTCGAGAGAGAGAGAACATACACACAGAACTTTTAATTGCTGGTTTACTTTGCAAATGTCACTGCCTGATGGTTGGAGCCCCAAACCAGGATACCAATCCAGGTCTCACACACGTATCAGGGACTAAACCACTTGAACTTTTACTTGCTGAAAACTTGCAGAATTAGGAGCCTGAGTTGGGAATTGATCCCAGACACTTCAACAAAGGGCACATGTATCAGCTGCTAAGCCAAACACTCATGTCAACTCAATGTTTGACTTACTACTTTTTTTTCCCATGGGCAACAATCATTCCAAGAAGCTTGAAAATGAAGTAATTTGTTTTGACTGCCTGTACTTTCCTTTCTTCCAAAAACATTCCAAGTATAAGAAATGATTTGGATAATGTGAACATTCTCCTAAACAATTTTTTCCTAGAATCAAAATACTAATAAGAATGCTGAGATGTTTTACATTGCTTATCAGGACAAAGAATCCAAAATGTATGAGGTTGTATTTATCATACTCTTATTTTTGGCCCTTTTTATTTTAAATATGAGCATGTTCTGAGTATTTGCTTCATTTTATTTACTGATCTAGATCCATAAATAGTTTCTGGGATCTCCCCCAGAGATTTCTAATCAGGTAGTGAAGTGGGTCAAATACTAACCAGCTTTGGTCATTTCCCTTCCTCATCTGGAACACAAGAGACTTTTGCTTTAAACAATCTAGAGAAGGTGTTGGGCTTTGAGTCAGGAACCGCAGGTTCAAAACTAGGTTGTGCTGCTTACCAACTGTGCTACCTTATACAAGTTCAGCCTTGTATGGATGAGTTTGCTTGTTCATTTGGTATCAGGGTGCGAAAAATTGTCTGTTGCCCAAGATAAGGTTTTTTTGATGTAATCCGGTATCTTTCCTCACTGAAGCCAGACAGCTGTTAGGTATCTTATCTAAATGCATTCACAAATGCATCACCCCATTTAATATGAATTTACCTCCAGTTGATTCCTTCTGTTCAAACCAAAACTGGACGCACATCTTTACAGGTTAATTGAGACATTAATTAATAGCAGAAAGTATACCCATAATACTAAGTATGTGAAAAAAGCATTCACATTAACTATATACTACTGCCTGGGCTTCTTCAGATCTAAAGAATAATCTTCAAAACAGAGATTCTTTACAGTAATGAATAGGAAATCATGACGCTGATGTTTATGAACTATAATCACTCCTGGACACGTTGTGCCACACAAGTACAACACATTCTCACCATCACCCTCAAAGACAGATAAAAATACACTTCATTTACAAATGAAGAAACGCTCAGGGGGCTTAGATTCATTTCTTCCAGGTCACATACAAAATTACTAGCTGTTAGAGACAAAAATCAAACCAGGACTATGCAACTTTAAAGACTGAACCATTTTCATTTCTTCATTATATTTCCGTGTGTGTGTGTGTGTGTGTGTGTGTATATATATATATATATATATTTTTATGACTTGGCATTCTAGAAAATCCCCTCCCTCCCCCAAGAGACCCCAGTGATTGTTTCTGCCGAGAAGCAACACCTCTCCCCAGGAAGTCAGAGTCACGGAGCACCCAGGGTACAACGGCTTCCTCTGAAAAAAGGAAGCTTACCTTTCACTGAAACGTTGAAAGGTTTCTCCACCATCCCAGCCACGGTGTTCACACTGCACACCCAAACTCCTGAGTCACGGGGGAGGATCTTGTAGATGGTGAATATGGCTACTGAGAAATGATCCGTATGGTTAAAGTCTTTTGGCTGCAAAGGTCAAATGCAAAAAAGATAAAAGTTTCTAGGGAGACAGAAACACAAAGGTCCACAGCACTGACCCCATCTCATTGTTTTACCAGAAGTTTTCTAGGGAGAGTGAGAAGCTAAATGCAGTGCTACTCCAATTACTGGCTCTTTCCCAAAGCTATTGTAGTAGCCCTAAAGTTTACATTGGATTGCTGCCTCCTCAGATCCTGCTGTTGTATTTGTGTGTTTGGAAGTGTGGGGTAAACACTTACAAGCCAGGAGTTTAATTCCTTTTAAATTGCCCTCAGTGACATGCGTGCCTTTCCTGTCTAATAGAGATGGTTGGGGGGTAGAGGAAAAACAAAGTGACTTCCTAAGTGTTTGACGGGGCTGTCAGTGCTGGTATGGTGGGAAAAGTCAGGGCTGCAAAGATACATGGACCTCTCCCATTTGAACAATTCTTCAGTTACATAATCTCACACCACCAGTTTCTGCTTCTCCAGAAAGGAGACAGACAGTGCCGACCAGAAGCTACATGCAGTGTGGTGAACCATTATGGTGTGTGGCCATTACCTGTATTAATCTATCAAAAAGCCAAGAGGAATTTTGGAAGCAGTCAATTCTCTCCACTGATGGCTGACGGATTTTTTTGTTTTGTTTTGTGGAGTGGAATCGGGGACATCTGTCATGTGGTCATTGCACATTCTATATAGCCTGTCCCCAACAGATCACTGATACTCTGGTTGACTCTGGTAAAGTTGGTTGATATTAATTCATCTTTGGCAGAAGAGACAATTACCTTCAAGTGTTTACATGAGAACTCAGCTCCCTAAAGATCATGTAGTTACACAGAGTAGTTTGATGTGGCTACAAGCTATGCTGGCTTAACGGTAGTTGGGAGAGAAGAAGCATGTTGGACAGAAAGCTCAGTGTTTTCTTTTTTTCACTTTAGTATGAATAAAATATTCATATATATATATATGAATATATATATTGAGTTTAGTGTTTTCTAATAATAGTAAGTGCTGTGTGATACCGATCTGATCAGTGCTGAGCACCAGCAAGGAGGGCCAAATGAAACAGCAGGGGGACCCATGGAATAAACTCAGACCTGGAAAACTGCACGAATCAGTTTCTGAAGTAGAGTTGTGGGGAGCAGATTCAAGACCTGCCCGTGCTGGATGTACAAGTCCATGTCCAAGGTGGATCAGGTTGAGCTCTCCTTTTCTATACTTCCCTAACTGCTGCTCTAAGAACATACAGAAATAGAACAGTCCTCAAAACTCGATGTCCCACTATTATAGGGAAGCACATGAATTTCCTACTGACTCATAATTGCAACACCCATATGAAGTTATTCCACCTTAGTCTTCCATATATAAAGAATTAGAGGGGTCAGAATAGCAGGAGGAAGCAGACAGAGTTCTCACCCCACACAGCTGCACTGCTCAGTGGGAGGTACCATGTTTATCACTCCATTCTGCTACCTCCACTTGGTGGCAGATTCCTCACCTCATATGGTAGCACCAACCACACAATCTGCTCTGCTTCCCAAGGAAACTGGCACTTTTATCAAAGCTAACAGCACACTGATCCGGAAGGATGTAAGCCCTGAATGTAATCCCAAGTGACTACACTGAAACATCTTGTGGAGTCAGGAGGGAAGATGCCTTCTTACATGGAGCACTGTCCCATCTGGCTTCACTAGCGTCATTTCTTCATTGGCAGGTAGCGGCCAGCCAGAGGCTTTGCAGACTGGATTAAATTTACCACTGTTCACTTCTATGTGATCTGGCAGATCCTCTATCTTGGGGGTCATCCTTGGCAGGCCTGGATGAAGAAAAGCAGCACTGTGAAATCTGTCATTCAGTAACAATGATAATAATACTGATAACGACTTCAGTAAGCCATACACTAGATAAGACCTCTGTAAATATCTTGTCTTCATCATCACTGGTAAACTTGTGAAGCTACTGAGGTCTCCAGTTCATAGAGGAGAGGGGTGAGGCTCCAGGGCCAGAATGAGGCTCGGACGGTGAGAATCCAGACACTTCCCTGGAAGGGCATGCTCCCTCACTGGTCCTGGAAGGGGCTCAGCACTTTAGTGATCATCCTGACCAGCCACATCTCTACCTGGATGTTCAAACTCCAGGTTTGTTTCTAAGATAACTATTATAAAAACAAAACCCGAATATAGCTATTTCTTCCACTTAAGTGGACAACCCTATGGTACTGCAGAACAAAGCATTGTCGTTGTGTATGTGAGAGACATCTCATTCATTGGAAACTCAGCAAGTGGCAGACAGTAACAGGAAATGGGTGATTTAAATTATTTACATTTACATCAAGGTGAAGTGTAATAACCTCCCCAGATCAATTTCTAATCAACTACTAAATAAAAAAGTTGCTGCCAACTATCTATTATCAGATAAATGGGTAAAGAAAAGTGTGTGTATACACACATACACATACACAATGGAATATTTCACTATAAAATGATAAAATTCTATCATTTGCAGCAAAATTATTGGAACTTAAGAACTTCATGTTGAGCAAAATAAGCAGGACACATAAAAGCACATGTCACATGCTCTCCCTTATATGTGTGAGCTAAAAAATGAAAGAGGGAGGGAGCAATGGAAAGAAGGAAAGAAAGAAGGAAGGAAGGAAGGTAGGTAGGAAGGGAATTAATGAGAATATTGAAAGGAGAAAATTGCTTTGAGATTAACAAACGTGATGGCATCAAGACTTCTTGTCTAATATATGCATAATAGAAAATGAATAATTTGAAATATGATAATTTGGTTCTTAAATGTAAGGTCTTACAGATTCTCACACTCAACTAAACTTGAGATGTGATCAGAAGATGGCCAACACTTACATACAGAGGAGATAGAAACTCCTGAGGGCGGCAGTTACTTATAAGGTTCTTCCCTAACAGTAGCAGGAAGAATGCTGCCAAATTAAACTTAGCAATACTGTTTTTCAACTTGGTAGTTTCTCAGGCCTACAATAAGGTGCGTGGATAAGGTGTGTGGAACAGAAAAGAAAGAGGTAAAGCGTGGAGAGCTTATGTTTAGAAAAATGATCTATTCTCTTTAGCCAAAACAAGCTCTTTCAGAATGAAACCAACCAACCCTGCGTTGACATACTCACTGTCCTTCATTGCCCCCTTGCACTTTCTGGAAGTTGAAGTGGAAGTGCTGGGGAGAGTGAAATAGCAGAAAGGGGAAAGTGCAGGACCCAGCAAGACCATGGCAAGCCTGACCCAGGCTCTCCCAATCAGAACACACACTATTTGCAGCACTAATTGTGAAAATAGAGGAAGAGGTAAAACCCAAGATTAATCCTTAAACTTGGCCATTTTAAATTCAATCTTTTGGTAGACTCAGCATATTTTTCCTTCCCCTTCAGGTCGCTTGCTGACTCCTACCCTCATAGCAAAACCCAAACTTGAGGAAAGAGTAAAATACCTATAAGCTAGAAAAGCTTAAAGCCTTTAGGGAAACAATTGTCGGCATACATCTTCCCATGTATGTTAGGTTATTTTTTAAAACTAATAAACACAAAAACTGCTGGATAGTTGACTGAAAAATTAACACTTGTTGGTTACATTGAAAAGTTGAAAATACATAAAGGTATGCTTCTGTCTATTTTGAAAATTACATTGTAGGGCAGGGATTAGCAAAGTTTTTCTAAAAACAAAGCAAATCTTTTGAGTTTTGCAAGACATGTAATCAACCACATCCTGTCCACACATAATGCAAATGCAATCTAGACAATAAATGGGGTGAGGGAAGAATCTTCAAACAGTCATGGAATTGTGCATTATGAGGGGAAAAAATTGCACCAAAATAAGTTATCTTGTAATTCCATTTCCAAAAACTTTTTCAAGAATCCGCATGTTGTAAATGGGCATAGATGGTTTTCGTTATAATAGATGGTGAACAATGAGCCAGAATGAAATACTGATGCACTACAACATAAGTTTCAAAAAAAAAAGATATGATAAAAGAATTAAGAAACAAAATACCACAAGCTATATGATCCCATTTTCAGGATACAAACTGCCAGGAAAAGTCAAGTTTACAGAGACACAGTCAATGACTGGCTGCCAGAGTCTGGGAAGAGGGCAAAATGGGAGTTGCTAAGAATGACACAAAGCTTCTTTTGGTATGGTAAAAATATTATAAAACAATGAAATTATGTAATTAATAATGAAATTATGGTTAAAATCTTATTAAATGAAGTTAGAATTCTGCAATTACCATAACTACTGAACTGTACATTATAAAGCTGTCAACATTAAGAAACAAAGATACAGCTCAATCAAGTTGCTAAAAAAAACACACAGGGGGGCAAATTTGGTCAATGGGTCAGAGCTTTATGGTTATTTTTGAATTGGAATTATAAGGATGCTTTAAAAAGCTCATTCTAAAATGGAATTATATGAGAAGCTAATTCTGGTAGAAAAATGCTTAGCAGAGTCTTCTGATAATATGCACTTTCACAAACTTTCTCCCTTATCTGCATAGGACTCAAGATTTCTTGCATTAAGATAATCTTTTAAGTCCACTTGCCATGAACTATTCCAAGTATGTTTTGTTAATGCTTACTGAGCATAATCTTCCTGACTTCATTCTTTTTATCTTTCTTTCAAGATATTCTTTTTCTAAATCCCTCTAAAGTAGTCCTGGAACACATATCCAAGGAAAAAGCTTGCTCTAGAGAGCAAACAGGTAGACAGAGCCTGCAGTTGGTCAGTCATCACTCCAGGCACAGCACTGGTTTATTCCCAGTGGAAAGAGAAATAAACCTAGTACGAGGATCCACCAAGGAAAAGCACAGAACATTGTCATTTAGGGGCTTTTTAACAAATTATTGCCAACTTCTAGAGGCCCACAGAAATCGGTTCGAGAATCTTGGGAAGTGGGAATAAGGAATCACACCAGCAAAGCTGGGTTCAGGCTCTTGAACCCAGAACTGACCACAGTGTTACCTTGCTTTACCTTCTTTCTCACACTGCAGCCCCTGCCATCCTGGAGAGCAGAGGCATCCTTGGAACCGATCACACACATCCCCATTGTTGCAACTGCACCTCAACTTGCAGTCTGGCCCATAGTAACCAGGGTGGCATGCTGCAAACAGACAGAAACCAGTGTCAATACAGGGGAAGCGAGGAAACAAAGGCCGCTGACAGCCAATGCTAGTTTTCCCTGCAGGTTCTCAACACTGCTGGTTCACAGAAGCATTTATGTGGCATGCTGCATATCAGGAACTTAAAGGGGTAGAAAGTTTGGCCAACACTGTGGTGCAGCACACTGCTTACAGTAGTGGCATCCCACATGGGTACGGGTTCAAGTTCCAACAGCACCATGACCAACCCAGCTCCCTGCTAATGGCCTGGGAAAGCAGCATACAATGGCCTAAAGCCTTGGGACACTAGACCAACATGGGAATCCAGAAAGAAGCTTCTAGCTCCCAGCCTCGGACCAGCCCAGCTCTGGCTATGGCAGCCATTTGGGGAAATGAACCAGAGGATGGAAGATTCATATTAATTCATTCATTTCTCTCTCTCTCTCTTCTCTCTCTCATTCCCTCCCTCCCTATCTTATCTCCATATCTCCATCTCTCTCCATGACTCAATGCCTTTTCAATAAATATGAATTAATCTTTTAAAAAATGAGAGTTCTGCTTTCAGAATGGGCATGTCTCAGGCCAGCTTTCTCACAGATACAACTGTATTTAAAAAACAACTAAGGAAAAGCAGCAAAGAAAGGTGTGGAAGGAAGCAAAAATCAGGCAGTTTCTGAACAGAAATGGAAATTTGTGAGGTGGGAATGATATATTTCATTTTTCAGCTTTTAGCCTAATAGCTGAATATGGTTGACCCCATGTGGGGAGGCTGAGACTCCAAAGACAGCCTGCTGCCTTGCTGGGGGCCAGTGCCACAGTGCAGTAGGCAAAGCTTCTGCCTGTGGTACTAGCATCATATATGGGTGCCATTTGGTGTCCCAGCTACTCCACTTCCAATCCAGCTTCATGCTAATAGCTTAGGAAAGCAATAGAGGATGGCCAAAGTCCTTGGTCTCCTGCATTCATGCGGGAGACACAGAGGAAGCTCCTGGCTCCCCATCAGTTGAACTTCAGCTGTTCTGTCCATTTGACAATGTGGAAGATCTCTCTCTCTCTCTCTCCTTCTCTCTGTGTTAATCTTTTCAAATAAAAAATTAAAAAGCTTTAAAAAAAGAAAACCCATTGCCTTATTGATCTAGCAAATCAGAGGACAGAATTGGAGCAGCCACTGCCACTGGAAATGGATTTAAAAAAAAAACAGAAATAATCAGAGAGATGTCTCAAATATTTAGGTTACTTTAAATCATGCATGTTCAATGCAGCTTCAAAGCACTCCATGTAAAGATAAAAGAATTCAAGTGAATGTGACCTGTTACCTGAGAGAGTATTCAGTTTGAGTCCTAGCAAATGAGTTGCCTGCTAAAGAAAGCAAGGCAAAAACCAGTATTACTCAAAGGAACGTATCATATTCCAGAGTCCCCACAGTGTAACAGTCACAGTGTTGAAATATGATTCCAAATTATTCACTCTGAGAAGAGTGGAAAATTGTGACCCATTCTCAGGAAAAAACAAAATCAATGGAGACTGACCCTGATGACCCACAAATTGGAAATTACAGACCAAAGGTCCAAAGGAATGACAACTGCTCCCTGAGACAAAAATACATGCTCACCAAAAGAAAGAAAGAAAGAAAGAAAGAAAGAAAGAAAGAAAGAAAGAAAGGAAGGAAGAAAGAAAGGAAGGAAGGAAGGAAGGAAGGAAGGAAGGAAGGAAGGAAGGAAGGAAGGAAGGAAGGAAGGAAGGAAGGAAGAAAGAAAGAAAGAAAGAAAGAAAGAAAGAAAGAAAGAAAGAAAGAAAGAAAGAAAGAAAGAAAGAAAGAAAGAAAGGAAGAAAGAAAGGAAGAAAGAAAGAAAAGGGAAATTTCAGCACAGAAATAGAAATGATTTTCAAAAGAAAGTCCAGGACTGAAAAGTGTAACATGAAATATCATTATATGGACTTAGTAACAAAATCAACAAAATCAATGAATTTAAATCTGTATCACTAAATATCCAATTTGAGGAACAGAGACAGAAGATTTAAAAACAATGATCTGAGACTCAGAACCTGCATCTAAAGGATAAAACAGTATCTAAAGGTCTACCATGCAGATAACAGGAGGTCAAGGAGCTACTGTTATGGTGCCATGGTTGGGCTTATGCCTGCCGCACCAGCATCCCATGTGAGCACTGCTTTGAGTCCTGCATGATCCAATTCCTATCAAGTTCCCTACTAACATTCTAGTGAATATAGCAGATCACCCAAATATGCAGGTCCCTATTGCCTATATGGGAGACCTGGATGGAATCCCAGGCTCCTGCCTTCAGCATGGTCCCCAGCAGGGTGTTGCAGTCATTTGGGGAGTAAAGCAGTAAATGGAAGAAGTCTATATATATCTCTCCTTCCTATAACTCTGCTTTCAAGTAAAGGGTTTTTTTTTTTTTTTTTGGAAAGCAAAGAAAAGCAGGAGTTCAAAAAAGGTGTAGACAGAAAAAGTAAACAAATATTTGAAGAAATAATGGCTTAAATTCTCCCCCAACTGGTCAAAAAGTTCACATTCCATAATTTGGTAAACTCCAAGCTGCATAAGTATAAAGACATAATCCTGGACTGCAAATTAAAACCCAATAGAATTTGAAATGTTAGTCTCTTGTGCTTGTTCCCAATATTTACTTCATAATATAAGTGATTCAAAATCCTGTAGCCTAGCAACAGGCAGTTAATGCAAATGGCCAGGTGTATCTTACATCGTGATTTCCAGTAAGCTGGGTCTCCTTCATTCATCTGCTAGAGTGCCCTCCTCAAGGCTGCGGTTGGTGCCTACCTTCATTGCACTGCAGGCCCTGCCAACCTGTGGCACAGGAGCATCCGTAAGGGTCTGGGAGGCAGAACACGTAGGACTTGCATCCTTCTGGACCACTACACCTTTCTTTACAAGTTCTACCAAATGTGTGCAGCTCACAGGCTTCAGGAAAAGAAAGAATTGGTTCAGAATTCAATGTGCAATCCTTAACATGTATCACTCTTCCTACATTTTTATCATTTGCCACAATACAGTTTTTTCAACAGGTCTCTTTTAGATTGGTGAACACAGAAAATTAGTCTAATCCTACTGCAGCTCAGGCATGGCTAAACACATCCTTCACTGCCCATTTTATGTTGAAACTGGCCCAGGGAGCATCAGGCCTACTCCTCAGCTTTATGCAACTTGTGCACTGCACAAACTGGGAGAGTGACATTCACTTCACACTGTAGATTCACATGTTTATTACAACTTCCCAGCAGCTGGTAATAAAGAACCTTTAGGAAAAGATGCCCCACCCCCCAATTCATGTAAAGATACCCTACAGCATAACAGGGGTCATTTAGCTTCCATTTTCCACATCTAGCATTCCAGATTCAGTGGCGATGACTTTTTAAGTCATGGCTCATTCCCCAAGTACTCTGAACTTACCTTTCTCACACGTCCTCCCCATAAAGCCAGGCGGGCAAATGCATTCTCCAGTATCTTCATGGCAGACACCATTGTTCATGCAAGTCGTACAGAGACGGTTACATTCAGGTCCCCACTTCTGAGCCTCACATCCTTGTGTAAAGCAAACAAGACTGGGGTGAGCAGAGCATTTACTATATGGCTTCAACAAATCCTGATGGAGCATTTACTGTATGGCTGTTGTCTTAGTAAACGATGGTAAATGGAGATCAAAATACACAGTCTGCTCTCTGAAAGCTATTACGCTGAAAGACATATATGCAAGCAAGAATTTAAGATATCAACTGAGACAATCCAGTTTTGGGGATGGAAGAGGGCATAAAGGAAGATCTGATTAGCAAAGGAAGGAAAACTAGGGAACATGTTTCAGGAAAGGGTTAGGCATGCAGAGGTAGCAAGGCATGCTCAGGGAGCTTCAGGCATGGTCAGGGACTGGAGCAGCATCCTCTCCTGGGAATCAGAGCCACAAACCACAGACCCATCCTCCACTCCTCTCCACCCCATTTATTGAGTAAGAACTACTGGAAGTGGCCTGGTAATTTATGTTTGAGAAGCCCTCCAGGTTACTGTGATACCTGCTGGAGTCGGAAAACTTAAGAGTTTTCAGGAGGAAAAATGTGGCCGAAAATGCAAGAGGAGCTAAAGGAATCACTGGTTTTTCAGCTGGAAAAAAACAACAGATGTGAAAAAAAAAAAACAATAAAACCTGAAATGCAGAGATGTTGAAACGCCTTCTATATTCCTATAGGTCCATGGACACCTTCTAGTATAATGAAAACCTGGAGGGTTTGAGATGACTCTTTGTAATCTGGAACTCAACTTTGTTTTTCAGCTGAAGAAACCAGTGCCACTTTCCCTGAGTTTTGTTGTTCTCATGGTGTCAAGCTTGGGTCTGTGCCCCAGCTGATGTATCCTTCTATCACCTGATAGATTGATCTCTCTCTCTCTCTCTCCCTGCTCCTTTCTCTCTGCGTAATTCTGACTTTAAAATAGATCAATCTTGGACGAGGAGGAAGAAGAGGAGGCCGAGGAGGAGGAACAGGAGACACCAGAGGAGGAACAGCAGAAGCAGTAGAAACACAGATTCATGGCACATAGAGGAAATACAAAATTATGATAAATCTTTTCCCAGTGAATTTAAACTGAAGAGAAATTCTATAAAAATAGCCAATGTGATTTTTAAAATGCAAATGTTTTAAGCGCCAGTATTGTAGGACTTTCTTTACATCTCTGAGAAATGTGCAAATACCAAAGCTGGGCCTTGTGCCTTACTAAGCATGGAAGAACTCAAACCAGGAGAAAAATTCCTAAACGGGGAATGAACGTGTTTTCCTAACAATCCCAAAAAGACAACGTGGAGATCAACATGTTTCAAAAATGTTTGTTTCACCTCAAAAGTTCAGGGAGAACTTTTAAATTATAGTCTACACAAAGTATTCTTTGATATTTAAAGCTTTAGCCTCGTATCACAGTGATATTGTGACATGATAAGAAACATACACATACATATATTTGGTTCCTGCCCCTGGTTATAGGCACACCAATCCTAAATGCAGAGAGATGACAGGGTCTTTTATATGCTAATGAGACGACTGGTGGTCAGGGTAGGATAGACATGATTAGAGGGTTGAGATTTCCAGTTCCCCCTGCAGTGGCCAAGGAGGGGTGAGAGCTGAATACTGAGTTGATAGCCATGCTAACTAGATGACCTAATTCACCCTGCCACAAGACCACTTCTCCACCAACTCCCCCACCAAAGGACATGGTTGAGACAGCGGTGATTCTGATGAATACATGGAAGTTCCTGGAAGGTGGTGGAGCAGCAGAGGATACGCAGTCCCTGAACCCCCACTCCATTTCTGCCCTGTGCAGCTCCTCCATCTGGCTGCTCTGTATCAATGCTCCTTGTAGTAAATCAGTAAGCCTGCTTCTCTCGCCTCTCTAAGCCATCCAGTGGATTAGCCAAAACTAAAGAGAGGCCCTTTGGAAAACCCAGTCTTAAGCCAGGCAGTCATGTGAAGGGGTGTGTGAGGCTGGCGCAGTGATCTGGAACAGAGCTTTTAAGCTATAGGATTTTTGCTATCTCCAGATTGACCGTCTTGATTGAGTTAAGATACCAGCTGATGTCCACCAGAAAACTGATAGGTGTATGAAAAAGTTAGCAAAAGCGTTCTGTTGAATGAGCATACACAGTAGGAAAAGCACACAGATATTATTTTTTCCTTTCAAACAATGTATGTCAGCATCTGATATTTCTGATGTCCCATTTGCTCAGGAATCTGAGCACCCTGGCGTAAGATGCTGTGTTAGCCTGGAGAAGAGCTACCTAAATGAAACAATTGCTTAAAAGCAGACAGCTTCTCCTGAGACAGTTTCACATTTTGAAAACTGAATCTTGACGTTATACCATCATGCTAAATTAAACTACTCTGAATAATGTCTGTATGAAATGTCTGCCCTAATATTTAATAAGTGAGAGACCAAGGACAGTAGTCACAAAGAAAGAAACAGCTCTTCTTACATGTACAGACTTCTTGAATAAAGTTCCAACAATTCTGCCCATAATGTACTTTATTATACCTATACCTATACCATAGAGCTGGCTTAGTATGAGGCCTAAACAAGATGAAATGTACTTTGTATATTTCATTTTCTTATTGCAATATCTAATTACATTTGTAATTTTCTGATTGGGAATGACTGCAAAATAGTGATTTATATTGTTATCCTGTATTTTTAACACCAATACAATGCTTGGCAGAAAATAATAATCAAAACATTTTGCTGGAACAATGAGTAAATGAAGAAGTACAATGCAAAGTAAATAATCATCATGAAATAGTGATACCAGTCCATGGAGGAATGACAGAGCAGGCTTGGCATTTAAAATTAAGACCTGGAAATTCAATATCATGAGCACCTGATATAGCTGAGAACATATTTGTTTTCCATATATCAATTTCCAGTACAAATTACTAGTGGTGGTTATTTCCCATAGCTGCAATGACTGGGGACTGGGGAGAGCAAGGTTTTCACCTGTTCTAACTTCCATTTTTCAAACCTGAAAATTCAAATAACATCTAAGAGGTAAACGATCCAGAAAATGTGGGATTTACAGGTACCTTAGCTAGATGTTTTAACTATATTTAATCCAACCCAGAAATCCAACTCATCACCCCCTAGCAATTTTCAGGAATATTCCTTGCCTGTTGTGGTTTGCCTTTTGGGAGGATAAGCCTTCTACACGAATGCCAGCTCCTACCGTCTATAACCATGGTATGACTGCACTCGCATCTGTATCTCATTGGTCTAGGCAGGTAAATTACTATATATATTATGTCAATCTGTCCATCATGAGAATCCAAAATTTGCAAGTAAAACAGACACCATAAAAGTTGAGTTGTACTAAAGGCAACAACACAGAAAGTTCAGACTCCCACCACTGGGCCTATCTTTTCTGAGACTTAGCAGTTTTCCCATCCATTTCTTGGCAGTCTTTAGTATTTCTTCAAGAAATCCCTGGCTTTTGCATACGTTTCCAGAGTCAGTTTCTGTTACTTGCATTTAAGAATCCTAGTAAGTTACAGCACTGCAGATGGTGGCCTCTGAGTCACTTACTCCGGACTATCAGCCTGGTGAAGGCCGAGGTGAAGAGGTTTCCTCCTATGTACCTGGCCGAGTACACTCCTGCATCCTGGGGCTGAGCGTGAGGCAGGTGCACTTCTAAGATATCAGGTACTTCATGCCGGGGCACTGAATGGATAAAGGAACCTGGTAAAAGGGAAGAAGAGAACAACAGATCATCCTAATGGCTGCTTGTCTGGCCCTTCCACTTCATCAGCTTTCCCAAGCTTTAGCTGTTGCTAAACATTTGTTTATTTTTATTTGAAAGACAGATTTTCAGAGAGCAAAGAGAGGGAGAGGGAGGGAATAAGAGAGAGAGAGAGAGAGAGAGAGACAAAGAGCTCTTCCATCTGCCAACTCACCCCAACAAATAGCTGCAACAGAGCTGGGACAGTATGCAGCCAGAACCCTAGAGCCCAGTTGGGTGCCACATGGGTGCAGTAGCCGAAGGACCTGGGCCATTCTCCACCACTCTCCCAACCCACCTCAGAAACACTGGTAGGGAGCTGGATTGGAAGCACAGCAGGCAGAACGGGAACCAGCACCCATATGAGATACTAATGCTACAGCTAGATGTTTGGCCTGCTACCCCATGCTGCTAGTTCCCTAACTTTTTAATCTTCTATAGGAAGAAATCAACTCAAGAGGGAGTGCAAGGGGCCCAGCACAATTGCCTAGTGGCTGAAGTCCTTGCCTTCCACATGCCGGGATCACATATGGGTGCAGGTTCATGTCCTGGCAGCACCGCTTCCCATCCAGCTCCCTGCTTGTGGCCTGGGAAAGCAGTTGAGGACGGCCCAAAGCCTTGCGACCCTGCACCTGCTCAGGAGACCCAGAAGAAGCTCCTAGTTCCTGGCTTTAGATAGGCTCAGCTCTGGTCATTGTGGTCACTTGGGGAGTGAATCAGCAGATGGAAAATCTTCCTCTCTGTCTTTTCTCCTCTCTGGATATCTGGCTTTCCAATAAAAATAAATAAAATCTTTTTTTTAAGTAATACAAAGCAGGATTAGAAATGGCAAGTTATCTTGTCTTATAACCAAGTACCTGAGTGAGACCTGAATCATAATTTTAACCTGAAATTCCTATTACCACAGAATTCACAATGGTCCCCATAAGTATTTCACTGGAGCAGGCAACTGCCAGCTGGCAGTATCAAACCACAGTTAAGATCTTGACAGATTTGGACTACACAGTTGGACGTCTAAAAATCGTATCCCAGCTTCAGTACGATTACTTCCTTATCCTTGCAATCAAACATCCTCTCACTTCACATGACTCAATTTGCGACCCATGGATCACATTATGATGCAGCTCAATGGTGTGTATATTTATCATGTGAATTCTATAGAATGTATAATAAATTACATTATTTTCTACTTTTTTAAACTTACAAAAATAAATTAAAAATATGAATCTCATTTAAATAGCAAAAAAACACCATGGGCAAGAGTCTCCATCACAGAATTTGATAAACTTGTGTCATAGCATCTTCATCTCAAACATCTGCCCCTTCTCCCACTGCAATAGGCTAATGATTGAATATGCCATGTATTACCTAATGCCTCACATCATAGAGCTACAGTGAAATGTGACACACACTCACCATTTTTGTAAATCACCGCATCTTCTTCTTTAATCAACACCTTTTTGAAAGATATATTCACATTATCTCCCTTGTCCACAGTCATAGTTAAAGTAGCTGGTAGGAAGGAAGCTTTTAAAAAAGAAAAAAATAAAAGACGAGATCACATGCTGTTGGCAGAAGTAACTGAACTCTGAGCTTCAGAAAAATGAGAGTTGGCACCTGCTGGGAGTCAGATGGCTTTCAAAACATGGTAGCTAATGAGTGTTCACTTTCCTTAAGATTATGTACCTTTTAAAGAATTTGATAAAGGTCATGATCATCTCTTATGTAAAACTTCAAATATAGACATAAAAAATACATGTACAAAATTTTTCCATGCAACTGGTTTGCGTGAAGGGTAAGGATTTTGTGTTCATATCTTCTATCAAATTAAATCATAATATTAACTGGATCTGCTGTCCTTATCTAACCACACTACCAAGGTCCAGCAAAGTAGAAAAGACGACTATGTGATTCTTCCAAATACAAACAAATATTTTCCAACTGGCTTTTCTTTGGATTTTTTGCGTTGTTCCAAATAATTCTAATGGCTTTCAAGTGTCCCAAGACTCTGTCAAGTGGAATATGCGAAGTGCTAGATTTTTGTTAGTGATATAACAGAATACTAAAGAATCAAGACAAGGATAGAATCCAATATCTTACCTTCGGCTTTTTAATTATTTATATATTAACTGACACAGCTATGGAATTGGAGATGAGGGTATTCTATATTTGGCTTATAAAATAATCGAGCAATTATTAAAAACCTCTTCTTTGTGCCAGAATAGGAACACAGCACTGCCCAGTTTCCCTGGGTTATTGCACAGATGTATAAATAAATCTAATTTAACATCTTCCCAGACACAATCATTTCATTTTCTAATTTAACTACAATGTGCAGAAAGCCATACTCTGCGGAATACAGATAAATTAACTTTGTTTTGTTAACCCATTATTTAAAAAAGAAGAGAAATGATACATGTAATTTTCCTTAGCATGGACATTAGGAGAGAGAGAAATAAACTAAAGGTACAAAATGTGGATGGAGGAAAAGGCCCAAAGAAAATTAAAGGAAAAGACAAAATAAAATGTTAGAACTGATGCCAAACATATGAAAAGACAATCAATGAATTCAGATCAACAATCTCAGATTTTAGCATTTTAATTATGTAATACTTATAGCTATATGCTCTTTTCTTAAACTTTAAATACAGTGGCACATAAGACTGAGAAAAACACAAAAATACATGGTAAATAATAACTAAAATAACCTTGTATTAAATTTATTTCTGAAAAACTTTTTCTAAGGCGAGTATTTGGTGCTACGGTTCAATCATGAGCACTTGGGACCACCTCACTCTGCATCAGGGTGCTTGGAGTGAGATGCAGCTCCTCTATGCATTTCCCTGCTAATGCACATCTGGGGAGGCGGCAGATGATGGCTCAACTACCTGGGTCACTGTTAACCACGTTGGGGACCCGTATTGAGATCCAGGCTCCAGGTTTTAGCCTGGCCAACCTTTGGCCGATACGGGAGTTTGGGAAGTGAGCCAGTGGATGAAAATGCTTCATCTATCTGCCTTCAAATAAAATGAAAATTTACAAAAACAAAAATTGAGATAACATTTTTAGGGATAAAGTGACATTCACATGATGATAAACAACAGAACTACTGACCATCTAATAAAATCTTATCAGAAATTTTCATTCATGCATTCTGTTACAGAAGGTATTGGAATCCTCAATTTGTATATGCACCTATCAACAAAGTTTTACTGCAAAAACTAACAAAGTTAAAGTAACTGACATATCTATGAGCATGGAATTTTACAGAACTTGATTAATCACACGCTCTGAATATTGCTAAGGAAAAGCATGAACGTTTTTAATAGCACAATTAAAGGTTTGCTGACTATGGATAGAACATGTGTTCAGTTATCGGACTGAATACAATGCCATTTCCAGCATGTTAACTTTCTATTGATCCAATAAAGCACATAGCCATGGATAGCAAATTCTCTCACAAGAATGCTTAGAAATTAGAAATCAGTAGCAAAATTCCTGCACCCTCAGCTATACATCCCTATCAGTTTCAGTCGGGGCCAGTGCCAGAGAACCAGAGACTCCCGTGGATGACTTGAGTGCTACAACACCTGCTCACTGTGCCCTAGTTCTCTTCTCACTGGTGGTTTTCAGATAGGCGGCTTCATGGAGACTGATGAGCTGCGGACACCACTGGCAGAGCTGCACATACAGTGAGGGAGGTGCATGCCTCAGGCCGACACTCAGAAGGGCTGATGCTTTGGGTTTGCCTGCTTGTTTTCCTCCACTGTGACATGTCCAGGACTCTTCTGTGTGTCCAGGTATGTGAACAGCTTTGGTGCAGAGGCTGACCCAGAGGGATCAACCCAGCAGGATGGCTTAGTGTGCACTGGAATCAAACAGTTGTGGCCTTGAGCCCACCTGCTGCCACCTACTGGGCCTTTTGGATGAGTTGCTTTACCTTTGCAAATTTTGGCTTCCTCATCTGTAATTTGGAGCAGTACTATCTACTTTAAAAGGTTGCCAGGAATATTACATAAGCCAGGCCCCACGTGCTTAGGAGGTCAATGTCTTTCCTAAATATAAACAATCAGCAACTCAGCTGAGCTGACATTTGTGCTATGGACATGCATAGTGGGGTTTTCAACGGCATTAAAGGAACCAGCCTTGGAGCAGGTGGGCAGAGTGATGGGAGGGGATTTTAGAGGGCTCCTTCTTGTGTTCATAAGGTGTTTCATTGAGCCATCCCTAATGTACAGGTCTTGCCTTCTGTGACATGTTCTGAGGCCCCTTGAGAAATTTCTTCTACTCTTCCATGCTGTTGTTTCTTTCCATGTGGTTTGTTTATATTTTGTGCCCCTTTGTGTGACGATTGTTTAGCTGGCAGTGGGACTTTTCACAGAGCATTGTATTCTGAAAAAGGAACTGAGATTTTCCAGTAAGCTCAGGTCCAACACAGCTTTTCCCCTCCCCTCAGTAGCTCTTTATTATTTCAGACTTGGTGCCTCTTAAGCTCCCTGTTTGCATAGGGACACCAACACATCAGAGTTTCGCTGCTGACCAACTGCTACCTCCTGCATGCATGGCTGCAGACTGATTGTTCTGATGATTACTGCATGGAGGAGGCCCTAACTTCATGCATTTCCCTGTCACACAGGAGCCTGAGCTTGTATTCAATAGACATAATGTCTTACGACTTGGCAGCACTGTAAAATTAATAGGCACCTTTCAATTTTCTTTTTTTTTAATTTTGTTTCATGACATAGGTTCATAGGCTCTGGGATTCCCCCAACCCCTCCCCATGTCCTGCCCCCATGGTGGATTCCTCCACATTCTTGCAGTAACACAGTTCATATCCAGTCATGATTCCTTCATTGCAAGCATGTACCATGCATAGAGTCCAGCCTCTCATTGTCCAGATAATTTCAACCATTTCCTTGGGAGACCATCCCTGGTCTGAAAGTAGAGCTGGCAGAATATTATCACCTCCAATGAAAAGCCACAACATAACCTCAACAGCAATTCACAACATTATGGAGTTAATTGACATGGTATTGAGTGGCCAATATGTTAGAAAATGCAAGTTCTTAACCACATCCTGTGACTACTTCATTGACATTTCAATTTTAGTTTATGCACAACCAGCTGCTATGCACCTTAAAATGGCTATAGGGTACTATTCAGCTGTCTCATGTATATTTTCATTTTTATATTTAGCAGTTTATAGTGTTGAAGCATAATTTTTACTGAACTTGGCAGATTTTAGGATAGTCCAAACTGGCTTATAACTTTAACAAGGCATATGTTTAACAATTTAGGTGCAGAACAGTTTTAGGAGGGATGTGCAGAGAAGTCTTCACTACCTCAGTGAGGAGTAACTAATCTTTGTGTCCTACCTAGTAAGGTGTATGTGAGTGCAAGCTGACTGTTTCCTGTCTGGCTCTAAGCTTTCCTTGTTGGTCTCTGTCTATCTAATCTAATGTTAATTTTTGGGGGGCCTCCGGAGCGATCCTGATGGTCATTGCAAGAGAGGGTGGAGATCCAAAGTTGGAACTAAGTAAATATGCACCTTTTATTAGTGCCTACTATAACTCAAATCACGCAAAGATCACTTTCACAAAATTCCTATAGCATAAGTCGAAATTGTCTAATTTTACAAATAAGGAAATTAAAATATAGGGATGATAAGTGACCTGCTCAAGATCACAAAGTAAATACAATGGAAAGCCAGGATTTGATTTAGTGAACCCAGCTCCAAAAGCTGTCCTCGATTACATGATGCTAGCATTCAATGACTTTCAATTCCAAACATTTCATTTTATTAATGAAAATGCTGAGGTCAAAGTTGAAACAGGACTTGCATAAAACCATGGACCAAGTAATGGATAGAACTTAACCAATACAATTCACCTCTTTATTACTTGCTCAAAAATAAAGTAGATAATAGTACATGTAACAAAGATATTTTTCATGGTTAACAAACAGCTAATGACTGTTCTCTTTGAACATTGGAAAAGTACTAACAGTATCTAATGTCATTATTTTACATAACATTAAAAACATCTCTGTGAAGACAGTGTATCACAGTTTCCTACTGTGGGAGATGGAGTTAAGGACAACTCAGTTGCTTTTTCATGATCTCCTAACAATGAACGTGTGAAAGTCAAGGCACAAATTCAACACTTCCATACTTATTTCACAACAGCAGTTCCCCAATTTTGTTACCCAGGCCTGCATCCTTAGTAATCAATTGCAGCCTTTCTGAAATCCATTTAACTTTTCAAATCGACCTCATTGATTTCTTATGTCCAAGTCTTGATTTTCCTCCCTTTTCTTCTACACCTCCCTAGTCCTTCTCATTCCTCCGTCTCCACTGACATGTGTCCAGGGGCGTCATACAATCCTTGCCATCCAGGTTAGTGCTCTCATAGCCACTCTCCAAAAGCTGACTCCAATCATAGCCCACCTCCTGGTGTACTGACCCCACTAAGCCAAGTTTATCAAGAAATCTTTTCTTGGTCATTTTTGCTTAGAAAGGCAACCCAGGATTTCTCTGGGATCAGCCCTGAAATTGCTCTTTCCAAGGTCAAACAGTCACTAGCTAAGTAAAGGCAGCTGTTAATAACAAACACATGAACCTCATGTGTTAATGGGGCCTTAGTAATCCTAAACAGATAGGCATTTGAAAGCTCAATGTAATACTAATATAGTCCATTCTATTATATTCTATTATATACTTTATATAAATGTTGGAGGAATGTCAAATACATAAAAAATATTCAGAGAATATTAATGTCATTGCATCCCCTATTGTACTTGGCATAAATAAAAATAATAGCTGGAATGAAAGAAGTAAATAAATCTTCTCTATGGTTTTCTTATTTTCTTTGTGTTTGTGTGTTATTTACATATAACCAGATCTTTCCATCAGCTCCACAAGTCCTATCTGGAAAGTTCGATGTTATCAAGGTAAAACTATTTCTCAAGTGAAACTAGAAAAAATAATATGTATATTTCTTATGATGAATAGTTCTGAAATAGATCTTTGAACCTGAAAATGTGTCAAGTTTTATTAATAGTTCCTATCTGAAAACGAAATCACTAGTAAGGATTGAACAAACTATTGTCGTCCATTTTATATACTATTGACAAAAAAAAATTTTTTGGCTATTTGGGGTGTATGAGCCAATTTAAGCTGTGTTTTGGCACATCCCAAATGAGTTTTCCACTTCCTTCCCAGATGCACAAGTCAGCAGCAAGCAGGAATACACTGACGTTCATCCTACCCTTCTAGGTCCCCGGGCAGTGTTCCCATAGTTATTAGAGAATCAGTTGTGACACAAAGACAGTTTTGAAGCTTCTCCTGGCTCACTACAATAGATATCACTTTCCTCCACTGTTCCCCAGCATCCAGTGGGGACTTTTCCCACTTACCCTAGTGTCATTTAAAGGTGAATGTCAGCAAGAGAAATCAAATCAGTTCCACCAAGCTGAGATCCTATTATTGCTAAAATATAAGAAAGCGGCAGATACTCACTGGCACAGCAAATGCTGGCATACTTGTGTCCCACATCAGAGTGCCTCGCATTGAATGCTAGATTTTTCTGATTCCAGCTTTCTGTTAATGCATACCCTAACATAAGACCGATAATGGCTCCAATGTGTGGATCTCCGTCATCCACATTGGAGACATAGACCAAGCTCTTGGCTGCAGCTCCTGGCTTCAACCCAGCCCAGCCCATGCTATTGCAAGAATCTGATCAGTGATTCGGCAGGTGGAAACACATGCATTTTCTCTCTCTCTCCTCCTTTTCAAACAAAAGTGAAAAGAAAATAATATGGGAGAGAACATGCTATCTATTATAAATCTCTAGGATTATAGAAGTTATACAATGAAGTTATACAATGAAGACAATTAGTAATCCCAACACATCATCACTCCACGGCACTGTAATGGTAGTTACTGAACATTTACTATAAGCCAAATAGTATCCTTGATCTTCACATGTATGTGGCACAATCTCTTATTTTAAGATGAACAAAAGCTTTGATTTCAATTAATTTTCCCTGAGTTACACTACTCACTTGCAGGGGTGGATTCAACACCCATGTTTAGCTGCTCTGTGTTCCTATCTATACCTCTATTCTGTGGCCTGGGTGATTTGGGGATTATAAGTGGAATCAATGTACAGTATTAAGTACTAGGAATCAGAGAAATGTGTTAGCCTTAAGTGAAAATGGAACAACAAAGAACAGTGCATTGATTAGAAATGTAGACTCCCAAATCGGATCACTTGACATCAAATCTCATTCCCACCACTTTCATTCAACTACTGTTACACATTTTATTTTACAGTATCTCACTTGTCACAGGATTTAAAGAACACATCTACTGTGTGGACAGATACACCCAGGGTTACTGCCTTTTTTGTATTAGTACTATTTCACATGTGATGAAAAATGATACCAACAGAAGTTGACTGGTTTCCTGAGCCCTCACAGATGTGCGAGTGAAGGACAGGCACTTAAAACTCTGGTGGGTGTGAGTCTGAAAGGCAGCTTCTATCTGCTGTCGCTTACTTTCCAAACCTGCCTTTACCTTATTCAATTGAATCTAAGTTATCTGTGTAACACATTTAACTCACTCTGTCCTGGCTCTGCATGTTAGTATTTCTAGCTCAGCAAGGATGATCTCAAGGCAGATCCAGGAATGGTGTCACCTCAGATTTCATTCGCATAAAACTATTACAGCACAAGTTTCATATCATCTTTACATGTAATGTGGAAACATCAGCAAAATGACCCTACTCTTCATGCAAGTCAGATCCACAATGGCATGTGAAAAATAATAGAGCTGACTTGCAGCCATGATAGCTTTGGCACACCTCACATCCCTTTGTTCAACCTCTCTTCCCTCACTGGAGAGCTGCATTCCTGGGAATTTCTGCTGTGCTCTTTTCCCACTTGCCCTGATGCCATTTAAAGGTGAATGTTACAGTTTTGCTAAGAAAACCCTTTCCTTCATTTGTAATGAACAGTGATTTTATCACATTAAAGTGAGTTAGCAGCCTTCAAATATTTTAATTACTACCACGAACAAATGCAATGCAATGTTTCAGGTGGGATCCAGCCAGAAGTTAGCTCTAAACCTTTACTCCTCAGGTATGTTCATAGTTGAGCAAATTCTCAACACTAGGACTGTGAACTGTGACGTGTCAAGAACCTTCCTCATAATGTACTGAATCCAAGTATGTGTTTTAAAAAGAACCACGTTGCTCAACAGGCACAGTAAACTCTGAGAAGCACAGAGCTGAAAGCATGGCAAATTCTCAGATGAGAACTTATCACTAAGACATAGGCAGAAGTGGGTTGGCATTGTGGCACAGCATGGTTAAGCCACTGCCTGACACACTGGCACTTGATATTGAACGCCAAATCAGGTACTGGCTCTTCCACTTCCAATCCAGCTCCCTGCTAAGATGCTTGGGAAAGCAGCAGAAAAGGACCCCAGTCCTAAGAACCCTGCCACCCACTTGCCACCCAAATAGCACTCCTGCTTCAGCCTGGCCCAACCCTAGCTAGTGTGGCTATTTGGAGAATGAATCAGTGAATGCAAGCTCTCTGTCGCTCTGTCTTCCAAATAAATAAAACAAATGTTTTTTAAAAGACATGGCAGAAGCATGTTACTCATGTGGATCAGGTGATGAATTAAAACTTAAATTTTCTGAAGATCTCACAGTGTCAATATTGCATAAGATGACACTCAGTACACAGCCTCTGTCTTTAAGATGACCTTAATCTACAAAGATCTCCTTCATACTAGGAGTTAGCAGCCCAGAGGAAATGGCTGGCAGTGAAGGACTGGATCATTGTAGTCAGCCTACTAGGAATTCTGTCCCTTCCTGCTAGCAGATAACACCAGCAACCTTTCCTGCCGGTTCATCTCTGACAGCACCAGAACACAAGCATTAAATATGTTGACAACACCATCTCCTCCAGCTGCTGTCAGCTTGGCAGACTGGGTTTGAGATTCAGCTTAGTACCCATTTCTCTTATGGGACAACCACTACATCATATTACGCTTGATGAGAGGCAGTCGAGTTATAATCACCCCTTGGAAGCAACTCTCAAGATCCTTCCTACAAATGCTGTTGCCTTTTGAGCTGGGCCTGGATACTCAGTACTGGAATTAAATCATCATCCCAAGATGGCAGCCTGCAAAGACATCCCCAATAATCCATCCCTTCATATACCCAGACTATCTGCTATTTAAGTTTGCAGTGCCCTCTCACTCGGACTCCATGCTCAACTATTTGACTTGCTTTGCACAATAAAATTAGGCAGGAGTGAAAATATACAATTATGAGCCTAGATTTCAGGAAGTCACATGTGTTTCCGTTTTTCTCCTGCAGCTCTACTGTTTACATGAAAAGAAAAATGTGCTGCTTGGCCTGCTACAGGGTAATAGACATGGAACAGAGCAAAAGTGCCCTAGTGCAGCCAGTCCAGTAAGCCCACCAACTAACCTACCTACATATCTATGAAAGTCAAGCCAGTGTCAATAGGGCCGCCTCCTCAGCCGAGCAGACTAACTCATCAGCTGTAAGCACTCTGCTTGGCATGCCTTTGCTGTTAGGCGTTCTGTGACGTCGGGATGGCACCAAAAAAACAGCCACACCAGGTAACCAATTAAATTCAGTTCCTAATAGATATTTCCCCTTAAAGATTTCATTTCTTTTGAATTTTCTCCCTGAAAATGTTTAAACCTGTTAAGAGTACTTACAGGCGAGCAAAACAATTAAATGAAAAATCAATGGGAAAGTTTAAAATAACCAGCAGTTTGGCAACAGGCAGTTGTTTCCATTGCTATGATTTTCATATTATATACTTGAAACATTCATATCTCTAAGTATCATAAAGGCTTTATGAAAATATGTATTTCATTTCAGCTCTTTAATTAGAATCAACATCCAGTGAGGTGACTGTATGTGAGGGAATCGGAATGGAAGTTCTCTTTTACCTCTGGTACCCTGTGTGCCAGAGACAACAATGCTTAGAGACGGACAAGACTTTCACACTTCATACTCATACATATCAGGCTCAGCTTCTCAGGGAGAAGCCATCAAAACAAAAAAGCTAAGTGGGTGTGGATGCATGTGTGCGCACACCTCAGAGAGCCATATCATCCCATAAACCAGAGGCATGTTACCTTGTTGACGCATCTTCATGGTCCGGATCCGTATGGCCTCTCCTCGGACTCGCCCTTCACAGAAATAAGCACCGTTGATCTTACTGGCCTTCTCTCTTTTCCAAACAACTTTCTTAGCCCACTCCCTGGTTGCGTCTTGAGTCACTTCTAGTGGATCCTGGTGTTGGTTCATTAAGGCTTCAAAGTCCCGTCCTATAGTAATGGGCTCATGAGGGTGCCACCCAGAGGCAATGCAGGTGAGAGAGGTTTCAGCATCAGATACAAGAGGCAGGGAATTGATCAAGATCAGGTCCATGGCGCCTTCCACCACTCCTGAAAAGAAGAGAGTATAATGCATGTCACAAACAGTAACTTGTCCCACAGGGTGAACTGGTACTTACACAGCCTTATCTAAAAATAGCTCTGATCATTTTCTAAACTGTCATTCTGACCTTGTGCCAATTTTCCACTGGTGGGGGGGAATCCAAGACCCTTTACCAAGGCTGAAAGATGCATCATCATCCAGACCCTGTTAACCTCACCCGCCCCTTTGCACATTCAAACTGCAAATGACTATTCTAATTTCCCCAAACATGACCTTATATATTTCTACTTACTATATTTATCCACATGTTATATATTGCTACGCCCCAACAGTGTATGAGACATAGTGTACTATTCAGTAAATGTTTGGAAAAATAAATTAATGATAGTGGCATCATTATTATTTACTGTTCATGTAATGGTCATTAGTAATATTTATTAGTTGATGTTCCTGGCAAACTTTCACAGTAATATTCTAAAGAAATATGTCAATAACACACACTTATGCTAAATTTATAGACTTTCATTTTTTATTAGGATTTTTAAAATTAATTAATTTCATTTATGACACAGGTTTCATAGGCTCTGGGATTCACCTAACCTCTCCCCATGTCTTCCCCCATGGTGGATTCCTCTACATTGTTGCAGTATCACAGTTCAAATCCAGTCATGATTCCTTCATTGCAAGCATGTACCATGCATAGAGTCCAGCCTCTCATTGCCCAGATAATTTCAACCATTTCCTTGGGAGACCATCCCTGGTCTGAAAGTAGAGCTGGCAGAATATTATCACCTCCAATGAAAAGCCACAACATAACCTCAACAGCAATTCACAACATTATGGAGTTAATTGACATGGTATTGAGTGGCCAATATGTTAGAAAATGCAAGTTCTTAACCACATCCTGTGACTACTTCATTGACATTTCAATTTTAGTTTATACACAACCGGCTGCTATACACCTTAAAATGGCTATAGGGTACTATTCAGCTGTCTCATGTATATTTTCATTTTTATATTTAGCAGTTTACAGTGTTGAAGCATAATTTTTACTGAACTTGGCAGATTTTAGGATAGTCCAAACTGGCTTATAACTTTAACAAGGCATATGTTAACAATTTAGGTGCAGAACAGTTTTAGGAGGGATGTGCAGAGAAGTCTTCACCACCTTAGTGAGGAGTAACTAATCTTTGTGTCCTACCTAGTAAGGTGTATGTGAGTGCAAGCTGACTGTTTCCTGTCTGGTTCTAAGCTTTCCTTGTTGTTCTCTATCTACTATTTTTGGGGGGGGTGGAGGGGGACCTCCAGAGTGACTCTGATGGTCATTGCAAGAGAAGGTGGAGATCCAAAGTTGGAACTAAGTAAGGACCAGAGAAAGCTCCCCTCCTGAGCCCCGAAGGGAATTTACTGTTCTTCTGTTTCTGAGGACCGCTCAGGGCTCCTGGCTGTTGTTCTGATGACATTAGATCCTGTGAGGAAGGATCTGGGCATCTTCCATCCCATGTGGGATATCCAAAAGGGAGTGGATGACCTCAGAGTTCTTGCCCTACAAGGGCAGTCCAATTCCCTGCAGTCTCCTTGGCAGTTGGGATATAGCCCTTGGTGCCCATACTGATAGTCCTTGGTGAGGATCCTGGAGTAGACTCTCATTTTTAAAGAATTGGCCAATTCTTTGTGAAACTGCAAAGACAGAGACAATGGACTGACATTATGGCACTATGGATTAAGCCATTGCTGGTAGCACTGGCATTCCATATGGAAGTGTCAATTCAAGTCTTGACTGCTCACCTTCAGATCCAGTTTCCCTCTGATGCACCTGGGAATATAGCAGAAGATGACCCAAGTATTTGGGTCCCCATCACCAATGTTCAAAAATTTGGCACCTGGCTTCAGGCTGGCCTGTTGCAGTCATATTAAAGGTTCCATTCCCTCTGTCACCTTCTCCTTGTCCCCTCTTCCCCTCTTCTCTACATTCCTCTCTCTCCCATCCTCTTTCCAAGATAATAAAGAGTAAATTAAGAAAAGAACAGTGATCAAGTGAAGTATCTGTTTCCCTGTGAGTCTTATCTGCTCCTCCTTTTAAGTAAAGTAAGACCTGGTTTCCAGGATTTCTGTGAAGACTGAATAAAACACAGAACTTGCCAAGTATTATGTCTTATATATTGAATACTTGAGGACTCTTATTTCCTTCCTTTTCATTCAAGTTCTGGAAATCCAGACCCCAAACTTCATCCCCTCCATAAGCATAAAAACAAAATCATACCTTACCACTGAAATTTAATTCATAGGGGTAAAGCATATTTAAAGAAAATCATCTTGTTTTACTTTCCTCCCTCTGCCTCTCTCTTATGATTTCAAACGTTTCTAAATGGAATATACGCCTGCTCCGTTCCCTCTTTAAAAGCAGAAATACCAGAGATGGAAAATGTTCGCCAGTCTCAGGGATGGATGACTCCTGCCTAACCTAAAATGATCATGAACCTGGAAAGTTCAGGAGCACCGGGTGGTAAGACTTCAACTAGCATATCAAATACCTCTATGCAGTTGGAAAGTGATTCAAATAAGTTATGAGTTAACTCACTGAATCCCATTAAAATTTTCCCCAGCAATGTTGTGCGGTATGCTCCATTATCTCAACCTTATATATAAAGAGTACAAGGCTCGTAAGATTGAGCTTACTGGAATTTCCACAAGTTTTCCAGGCAAAGCTGCAAAGCAAATACTTACTGTTCTTACAATCCCTGCATACTATTCAAAGCCTTTGCATGAGCCACTCCCTCTCATTTGAATGTTTCTCTCTACTCTTTGCATGGTTAACTTCTGCTCATGCTTTACTTTCAGTATGCATGCTACTTTTTCATAGATACAGATAGGTTGCATCTCTGCCTGCTCTATCTACTCTCTCTCCATTTTCCTTTAATTCAGTCTGTTTGCTTCTTTTCAGAAAGTTTTTTTCATGTAAATATTTTTGAGGTTGGGCAGATTTATTCCATATCTGCCTGATCCAAGACTATCCATTTATTTGCTTCCGCTTCTAGAATAATGACTAAAAATGAAAGGACTCCCCTGATTCTAGGGCCAAAGATTCCTAACCCATCTTTAACCAAATGTTTCTGTAATTACTTAGTTTACAAGGGGAAACAAAACAAATGTCTCAGTTTTTAAAAAGTGCCATGGAAAGGTAATCAATAGTTGTTGAGTATTTGAGGTTGACTGGTATTCATTTACCAAATCTTTCCTTAGTATCCACTTATGCCAAGTCCTCAAGTTGTTCTTGATAATAACTGCAAATGTTTTTTGAATGCAATGTTTTAAGGATGATAATACTAGGAGTTACAACTTATATGATTTATTAGGAAGAATTTCAAAGTCAAGTCAAGTCAATGTAAGCATGAGTTCCAGTTGCATGTTGTCACAATGTTCATAAGGGTGATGGAGAAAATCTTCCCTAGAATGGAGTTCTGAAACTGACCATGAATTATCGATCTTATCTCTAGCCACATCAGTAGTTTTTGAGATATTGGGAGATGTTACAGATGCTAAGAAACTCGGAATACTATAATTGATTTTAGCCAAAGGCCAAGAGGCAAGTGTGGAAATACTGCAACAAAAATCAGCTAGGAAACCTAAAAGTGGATTAAACTCTCCAAAAATGCCAGCCTGAACCTCCACCCTCTGTAGTCAGCCCTGCCACTGAGTGAATTTCACCTCCCCCTTGCACTCCCTCCCTCCAGGCATGTTCCAGAAAAGGTCAGCAAGAGGAAGGAAGTGCTATAATTCTTTCAGCGCTGGTTCAATCCAGCCCCATTTCTAGGACCAATTGAGTGATTTGCTCTTGAGCCCATTGCACTGGCACTGGCAATGGTCTATTTAATGATTTTAGGAAATACAGAAAATCATCGACCTAAAAAGACAAGCACATTCCATCTGTGCGTTGTTTCTAGGTACAGATCCGGTTTGCTTTCATCTTGCTCCTCCCAGATATCTCCCTCTACCTGCAATGAGGGGCAGGCTATAACCCCCCAACCAGGTTCCAGACTTCACCGCACTTTGATGCCCTTACTCAGCCTGACAGTTCCAGGAAGGAAGCCCCCTGCCATTTGGGAGCAATGGATCAGAGAGGAAATCAAAGGGGAAATTTAAAAATTGCTTGAAACAAATGAAGGCACCAACACAATATATCAAAACTTATGGGACACAATCAAGGCGGTGCTATGAGGAAAGTTCATCTCAATCAGTGCTTATGTCAAGAAACTAGAAAAGCACTAAGTAAATCAGCTAACCTTACAGCTGAAGGAACTGGAAACACAACAGCAAAGCAATCCCAAGATTAGTAGGAAAAAAGAAATCATCAAAATAAGGGAGCAAATAAACCAAATAGAGACCAAGAGAACTATACATAAGATCAATCAAAGAGCTGCTTCTTTGAGAAAATCAACAAAACAGACTCTCCACTAGTCCAACTAATCAAAAAAAGTAAGGAGAAAATATGCATCAATAGTATCAGAGATGAGAAAGGAGATATGACAACAGATACCTCACAGATACAAAGAATCATCAGGAACTATTACAAGCAACTATATGTGAACAAATCAGCAGACCTAGAAGAGATGGATAGATTTTTGGACACATATAATCCACAAAAATTGAATCAAGAAGCAATTAACAATCTAAACAGCCCAATAACATGCACTGAGATTGAATCAGTAATTAAAGCCCTCCCAACCAAGAAAAGTCCTGGACCAGATGGCTTCACTGCTGAATTCTACCAAACGATTCAAGAGGAACTTACCCCAATCCTACACAAGCTTTTTCAAACAATAGAAAGAGGCAATCCTTCCAAGCACTTTCTATGAAGCTATTATCACTTCAATACCAAAGCCAGAGAGAGAAACAACAGAAAAAGAGAACTATAGACTGATATCTTTGATGAACAAGGATGCAAAGATCCTCAATAAAATACTAGCCAACAGGATCCAACAACACATCAGGCAGATCATTTATCCAG